AATTCCATTATAGCCTATTTGTGATAAATGACCTACATGTGGAGTGGTTTAGAACATTTTATTTTCTCCTTCTTCTAGGCCTGGGGAGTAAAAAGGGACCAGAGTACCCACCCATTTCCTAAGGAAGTATGATTGAAATCTGAGTCTCAAAAAAAAGCCTGTTTTAATAAAATGAAACTTGCCTGTAGGGTTTTAGTGTCTCCAAAGTGATAATTTCTCTAATTTCTGCCTAGCAGCGTTTTGTCGTGGAGGGCTCCAGTGCCAGGCCCTTGAACTAAGGAGTGTAGTGCTTGATTCACCCTGAGTGGTTCATGTCATCATGTGACGCGTTTGATCAGAAATCTCCAGCGGGGTCCGGCAGACGTTCTAAGAACGTTCTTAGAGTTCAGCTCATTGCCGCAGAGAAGGAAGTAGGTATTTGGGGGAGAGTGTGGGAGGATGAGAATAGAGGTGAAAGCTTTGCTGGCAACATGTTTTGAGGAATAACTCATCAGAAAGTGGTTTAGGGTGATTTTTATGTAGTGGTTATGTATAAATACTGAAAATGTCATTAGCCTCATTAGTATAAGAATGAAGACTTACAGCCCCCAAGAGGTCTTGCAGCCCTGCTCACCCAGGATTCCTCTTGTACAGAATTCCTTGTAGGTTGGGCATTTTGTTCCTGCTTGGTTGCTTTCGCTGTTGGAGAGGTCATCACTTGATGAGGCGACCCATTCCCTTTTTATATCCCCGTGGATGTTAAATATGTTCCTTACCTTGAGCCGTGGTCTGCATCCCTTAACCTCTATGCATTGCTCTGAGGTCTGGGTCTGAGACCACCCAGAGCAGATCTGCTTCGGTGTGATAGGTGGAAGGTGTCCTACACTTGTGAGGATGATTGTGCGTATCTTGGAAACATTCTCTCTCCCAGCTGAGCACCTCCACTCTCCTAGAGGACTCAGGAATGGTGTCATGCGCCCTCACCTTCCCTACCTGCTGTGCTCCTCTCGGTGTTTGTCACTGTCTCACGGGAAGGAAAGTGTGCAGGTGTGTTTTGCCCGCCCTGTGCCCTGGCATCCACTCCCACCAGCTTGGGCACCCGTGGCCTCTGACCACCGCCTCCATCCTTGTGCTGTTGGCTCTTGCTGTCTCATTTTCTCTTTTAGCCTAAAAGGCTTCACGTTTGAATTGAACCCTGTGAGTTTCATTTTCCCAGCTCTATTCTTTTGGAGTCTTTCTGTTAGCCTCTCTCAGCCCTTGCTGCCACTGCTTCTTGCTTGGACCTTTTGGAATGAGCTTTCCATTCCATTTGGGAGCCCCGTCATCTGAATCTGCCACCTCCTTGTCAGTCCTTCTGCCACGTCAGGCCTGGATTGTTAAGACACTGACGTGAGCTGTTGGCCACAGGATGAGCCCCTCACGTAGGGATGAGTGTGCCAGATGAGGTCTTTCCCAGTGTGCCCACCTTTGGAGTGTTCAGGAATTCCCCATCCCCTGTCCGCTTAGCCAGGCTTTCATATCTCTATCTTTCAGGTGCCATATCAAATTTTATTTTGAAGAAGCCTCCTCTAGCTCCCCCAGGCAGTTAGTAATTTTCTTTGCTGCTCCTGCGTGGTAACGCGGTTCCCTGCGTTTCTCTTAACAGGTCCCTCCCACTGTGGGGTCAGAGCCCCTGACCATTCGCTCTGGTCTCCCGCCTGAGGGCTCCGTGCTTGGCCCAGTCAGTGGAGTTGGTAATCAACCTTCACCTTAGTTGTTTTCCTACTTCTGTGGAGAAAAACCATGCTTGCCCCTAGAGCTTTCAGTCCACGGCTGGGGTCCCTGGGCAGATGTTGTAATGCCGGAGAGCCCCCGAAGTGGTGTGAGGATTTGTGTATAAGTGCATTTTCTGGGGAGAGGATTCATGTCCCAAACATGTTAGGAGATGAGCTCCTGAAATGAGCACCTGAACCTGTCAGCAGGTAGCTCACCAGCATCGCCCAGGCTCGTGTTTCAGCCTCGAGTTACCGATCCTGAGGACGTGCGGTTGTTTTTCTGTTAATGTACGTCGGGTCGTCTTAGGAAATCATGTCTGTTGTATACCACGGACCATTTTTACACTGTGCACCTTTATAAATTTGGCTTTAGGTTGTAGGTAAGTGGAGATGTCTTGCCAGAACTGAATTTCTAGGAGCTCAGACCTCAGTTTCATTTCCTAGTGTCCTTGAAATCTGCTTTAGGCTTGAGTTAGATGACTTCAGCATACTTCTGCTGCGGTGGGGGCTTGCCACCACGCTTCAGTAGGCCATTGATTAACACAACAGCTGGGATTCGGAAGTGCCCTTGGGTTTGTGTTAGCTGGGTCAGTCTCAGATAAAAGGGGCTACCCAAGGTTATTTTTGGTTGGGAATAGCCTGGCCAAAGCAAATAACAAAGTCATTATTGTAATGATTACTGTTTCAGGTCCGTAGGTGGAGTAAACAAGCTACAAAGTATTCTTTGTGCTTGGGCCTGTGATATAGTGCATTGTGTTCCAGACACCTGATAGATTTTGGTCACTTGTAGCCAATTCTTGGGTGGGATGGTTGGAGAAAATCCCTGGGACAAAGTTCTCCTTGACTCAGTATCCGTAGGAATGGAGAATGGCCGTCAGGCCCTGTGCCGAGAGGACTGCTCACTGGCCCTGCCCTTCTCTGACTCCTGTCTGGCTCTGGTCTGCTGATGGCCGTCCTCTTCCTGGCTTCCCTGTGTATCACTATGCATTCTTTTGCCTAGAACTCATTTTGTAGCTTCCTCTTCACTATTTGGGCTCCTTCCTCCTAATTTGGAGGTAGAACCCAGCAGTTAATAGTTTAGTGGGTGCTTTTTCAAGAGTCCTGGGGGACCAGTGCCTTGGAGAAGGAGGGAAGGTGCTGGTAGGAGCTGCCAGGTCTGGGGCTCCCCTTTGTGCTGTCTCTGTGACCCCCACACTCCCCAACACCCTTACCCTCATGACTCTGTTTCTGCCTGCTCCCACTTCCCCAGACCTACAGCTGAGGGCTGGCCCCAGCCCAGTTTGGCTGTGTTACTAAACTGAACTTGTATGAGCTATCTGGGGAACTTCATACTGTTTTGAATCTGGCACATGTTTTCCCACGGAAACCAGAGTCCAAACCAATAGCTTGTGGAATGTGGCTCTTTCACTTGCTTCTGTGAACTGGTTATGGTTGTGATTTTTGTTCTCAAAGGGCAGAGAAAGCTGTAACCTGGACAGCAGTTTAACAGTTCATTTGCTGGTGTCTGAAAGGGCGTAGATAATCTGGTTTGAGCTTCTTGGGGACGTGTGACTCAGTCTTTGTGTGAATAGTTTGTGGAACTGTAGCTTTGTTTGAAAAGCTAGTAATGACAGCATTTCATTTTGTTCCCTCTCCTGGAGGGAGAGCACCCACGACCTCCGTGCCTTGTGTACTGTGTGTGACGTGTCTGTAGAATTACTGTGCCCGCTCATTGGGCTTACAAGGTGAAGCAAAATGCAGCATGACTCCTGAGGTTCTCCATCTGTTTCTTAGGTGGCTGTGGGGTTTTCTTCTGAGGCTTGTGCCAGCTGTTTGCTATTTACAATAGAAGTCGGTTCCACCCTACTGGGATACTGCTGGAGTTGGCACCCTGCGCCATCATCCATCTACGTGTGCCTGATGTAATCTCTTGTTTCCTAGCTGACTCTTTGGGTTAGAGGTGAGGTTCCAAAGCCAAGGGTACCATAGACCTCTTGTAAAAAACATAGGCACTCTTCAGGCAGTTTATAAAATATTTTTTAAAAATTATATGCACACAACATAACGTTGAGTTAAATAATTCAGCCAGCCACCCTGCTTTGTTATTCTTTTCTAATTTTTGTACAACTCATGTATAATTTCATATTCTTAATTCTTTTTTCTATTTGATATACATCATCTTTATAAGTGTATATAACAGCTACGTAATATTTTAGTAAGAATATCATTAGTTTGTCCCTCTATTTTTAGCCATTCAGGGTACATCTACTTTTTTTTAGTATTATGAATTATACTTAATAAATATATTTATGCATATCGTATTTTACCAGTTGAATTGCTTTATTTCCTTAGAATGTATTTGTAGAAGTGGATTACTTTTTGAAGAGGGCTTTTTTTTCAGTTCTTGAAATACATTAACATTTTGAGAAGTACTTACCAGTCACACTGCTATCAGCCTTATAAGAATGCATTTTTTACTACAAACCTGTTATTATTCAGTGACAAGCCTGTTTTTTTTTTTTCCCTTGGCTAATTTAGCTTTCAAAATATGGCACCTTCTTGCTTTAACCTGCATTTTTTTGGTCTCAGGTGACGTTGAACCTTTATTCTGTTTTTTCCTAATCCCGTGTCTGTGCATGTGACTACTGCCCGGGACCTTTCTTCTGACCACAGTAGATGAGACGCCACGCACCTGGTTTTGAGTGGACACATGTTCACTTGATGATAGCTAAGTGGATTATGTAATCTTGTTTTTTGTTAGCAAACTGGTTTATGTGAGAAAACTCACACAATCGATTTATAAAAGGGCTCTTGTACTAGAACAACGTTAAGAACCATTGTTTGATGTAATAAGGATGTGAATCTTGGTGTTTTCGCCATGGATTTTTTTTTTAACTTGGCCTATTTTTCATTGGTCAGAAGTTGAAATCTTTTATATTTAAACCTGTCAGTCTTTTCTCCTGTGATTTCTTTCATTAATTCATGAAAACTTGCTAAGATTATAAAGATTAAAAGGACTGATCTCCCTGGTACTGTTTAAAAATAGTGTGAGAGGAAAAAAGTAAACCAGTTAAATGAGTCCCTTCCAGCCCCGTGACTTTTGTGACAGCACAGCTTCTGGACTGGATGTGGTGCTGCTCTCTGGTTTGTGTTTCTTACAGCCGGGTCAGGGGTCAAGCTGGAGTGTCCAGCTAAATGCTAGGGCTAGCCCTTCACCCTGGGTAAACCAGTGACGTGGACCTGGTGTGTGGGAAACGGGCCACCTCCTCACACTGGTTTTCCTTTTAGCTCTAGGCAGCCCTGTCCTGGGCCTAAAAGAATGCACCAGAGGCTCAGCAGTGTGGTGTCAGAATGTGAAGACGGCGGCCGACTGTGGGGCTGTGAAGCACTGTCTGCAGACCGTCTGGAGCAAGCCGTTGGTGGTGAGTGCCCTTAGTACTGTGCTCAGTCCCTTTACAGCATCTCTAACTACTGCCATTTACAAAGCACTTTCTCTTGCCTCATTTTGTTTGCTCCTCACAATGACCCTCCGAGGGAGGCAGAACCTGTTGGTGAGTGTGCCCATTGTACCACAGAGAAAATGGTGGTTCAGAGAGGTTAAGGTTCCATTCCCTCAAGGTCACCCAGTCTCTTGGTGGCAGAGGTAGGATGAGGTCCTGCCATGTCCGCTGCACTGTGTGCTCCATGCTGCCCTCCAGGCCTCTGTGCAGATCCCACCTGTACCCCAGATAAGAGACAGCAGGTTTGCAGCTCCTATTCCCAGGACAGGGCGCCCGGGTACAGCTCTGTCCTTGGTCACTCACTCAAAAACGTAGATGCTAAACTTTTGAAATCCTTTTCCCCTTTTTGATATTTACTGTCTTTGCCTCTTGGGCAGATCACTCATTCAGACCCTAGAGCTTAGTAGCTATTTAAAATTTTATTTTCAGCTATAGCCAAACTAGACAAGATGCCACTGATTTTTCATCTAAACGATGTTCACTATAGCACATTAATGTGGGGCTCTTAACACTTGTGGGGAATACTCGAAGAAGACAAACCGCGAGTGCATTCTTCATGTGACCTGAACCCTCTCAGGAGATGCCTGAGCTTTGCTGATGCACCAGCCGACTGCAGAAGATGCTCTTGGCTCGCGCTGGGGGTACTACATCCTATGGTATAGGCCAGGCTTGACTGAGTAGAGTTCAGGTTCTGAAACATGTCAGTGGCCACTAGTACTCCTTCAGTAAGAGAAAAATAATTAACACTGCTCTTTTAGAAATAGTTTCTGAATTCACTGGAAAACTGCCTTCTGTGGCCACAATTACTTTCAGATTTGGTTTCTGATTTGCTTCTGATCTTGTTTTTAATACTACTTCCTCTTTCCAAGTTTAATGTGTGTCAAGTGAGGACTTTAGTCTCTCTTGATTAGGACAGTTTCTTGGATGCCTGAATCTCTCTTGGATGGCCCCATTCATGATATTAGCCTGACTAGGTCCAAGGGTTCAAATTGGTTTCTCTCGTTGCAGCTAAGTTCACAGGTGTTCCTTAATCTCCCCCAGACCTTTAGTTCCTTCTTCATGGGTTGGAAATCAGTTGACATCAGGAAGGGAGCTCCCCAGGGGTCACATGGTTCCCTGGCTGCCCAGGCTTGTCGGAAGACTGGTGTCACATCTCTAAGCTGTGGAGTGGGGACATGTGGCTTCCACTTGAACACGGCACTGCCTGGGAGGTGGAAGACAGAGAGAGTGCAGGTCACAGTGCCAGTGTGAGTGCACAGAAGCACCATGTCTGGCTGGGGCTTGTTTCCCTGCCCCACCCCCTTACTCTGTGACCTTGATACTGGTCCCAGGTGACCTTGCCCTGCATTACCGATTTTCTCTGATTTTCACCTTTCTGAGCCTCTCTTTCCTCACAGAGTTGTTAGCATTAATATGAAGTTGGGCCTGTTCCGTGTGCACTGAGTAAGGTGCTGAGGCGTACAGGGTACAAGAAGCACAGAGTACTACTTCTGTCCCCTAGAAGCACAGAGTATTCTGGTCAGTCATACCTAGTCCTTCCCCTGTGATGTCCCAGTGCTTCTCGGGAAGGTTGGAGAACCAGGATGTCCAGCGTGTCAGACGTGGCCGTGGTCACGTCCCTGGTTAGATAAAATAGGAAAAAGGCTAAGGCAGTTTTCAGCTGTTTGTGGTTTCCTACAAAAACAGCTCTCTCTCCCTCATGTTCTTTCCTCTTAGAAATCCCTTCCCTGTGACATTTGCAAAGATGTCATCACCGCAGCTGGAGACATGTTGAAAGACAATGCCACTGAGGTGAGCCGCCACGACTATGTATGACTGCGTGTGAGCAGTGGCCATATGGCCACGCGCATCTGTTCCTTAAAGAGCTCTGACTCTGGAGGTCTAAAGAGGAATGGTCTAGGCCCAGGTAGGAAATAATGTAGGCCTTGTGGCCACATACTGTTTCTGTCACATAGTCTTTTTTTTTTTTTGTGAGGCAGATCAGCCCTGAGCTAACATCTGTTGCCAATCCTGCTCTTTTTGCTGAGGAGGACTGGCCCTGGGCTAACATCCGTGCCCGTCTTCCTCCACTTTATGTGGGACGCCACCACAGCATGGCTTGACAAGTGGTGCATCGGTGCGTGCCCGGGATCCGAACCCAGGCCACTGCAGCGGAGGGCGTGCACTTAACCCCTACGCCCCAGGGCTGGCCCCCACATGGTCTTTTTTTCCCCCCATCCTTTAAAAATGTAAAAACCATTCTTAGCCACAGGCTGTTCAAAAACAGCCTGTGGGCCCTAGCTTGCTGAGCCCTGGACTAGGTGTTAAATGCCCAAGGTTGGTTGGGATTTTGCATTGCATACTGTTAGCCTTTAGGTCCATTTTGGCTATCCTTGCTTGGAATTCCCTGTGCCTCTGAGACTGCAGGTCAGAGGATCTTCGTTTTGAATAATGCTTGTGTCTGCTTTTTGCCTCGTTGATTTGATAGAGCCACAGCTACCCACTAGCCCTCTCCCGGTCCTCTTCCCTGAGGGCCGCTGGTTCCAGGCTTCATACTTTCTAGGAGTTGTAGGGGGCCTCTGCTTTCAGCTCTCCTGGTCTGACCCTTGCCTGTGTCCTCTCTAGCAAGAGATCCTCGTGTACTTGGAGAGGACCTGTGACTGGCTTCCTAAGCCGAACATGTCTGCCTCGTGCAAGGAGATAGTCGACTCCTACCTCCCAGTCATCTTGGACATGATTAAAGGACAAATGGTATGTGATGGGGAACAGGCTCTCCTTCAAGGCACCTCTGGGGCCCCGGGGAGGTGGCAGGCCAGGTTAGAGTGATTAAAATGGTAAGTCCGATCATAGATTTGGATTTTCTCAACACTCTTTACTACACTTCTGACATTCAAAATGCCTTTGGCGTGGCAGAACACTCTGCCTGTAACTTTCAAGGGTTGGGGAGGGTACATGAAATGGGATCTTGTAGAATTACTGAGGGATGGGCCGGCCCCGTGGCTTAGCGGTTAAGTGCGTGCGCTCCGCTGCCGGCGGCCCGGGTTCGGATCCCGGGTGCGCACCAAGGCACCACTCCTCCAGCCATGCTGAGGCCGCGTCCCACATACAGCAACTAGAAGGATGTGCAGCTATGACAGACAACTATGTACTGGGGCTTTGGGGGAAAAATAAATAAATAAAAATCTAAAAAAAAAAAAAGAATTACTGAGGGAATGTAAACTGGTATAACATTTATAGGTGCTGATTTGATAACTCATATCAGATCTTGAACTGTCCCTTTGAGCAAGCAATTCATTTCATTTCTGTGATTTTATCCTAAGGAATAATTCAGGGAACGTACTTGTGGGTTCAGCTACAAGGATGCTCACCTTTCATTCAGAAAGTATCTGTTGTGCGTAAACCACGTGCCAGAGGTTGGGTTTTCAGCAATGAACAAGGAGCCAGGGTTTTACAATTTGGAAAGACTTAAGAAAGAAGAGGGGCTTAAAAAACTTAGAGGGCTGGCGGGGCAGGAGTGTCCCAGAATGGAACCAAGGTTTTGGCGAGGAAGACAGGGCACATGGTGCAAGGCCTTTAGGCTGTTTAAGGATCGCAAATGCGGCGGGAAGTGTTTGGAAGGTCCAAGGAGAGGAGCAACCTGATCATAGGTACCTTTTACAAAGGGTTGGGTCTAGGTCCCACTAGTGGGGAGTGGTGAGAGAGACCGCTGGCAGGGCGGTCAGCTGTGAGACGTGATGGGGACGGTGGAGGTGGACAGGTGCAGATTTTATTTCAGAGGATTAATGGACTGGACTTGCTGATGAGGAGATGTACAGGAGAGGGAGTTAGGAATGTCTTCTCGGTTCCTGGCTTGAACTGCTGGGAGGATGGTGACGGAGCCACCATGGTGGTGGAGCTGGACGCAGAACAGGTTGGGTGCTTTAGTTGAGATGCGTGTGAGCGGGCATGCGTATGTGAGTCATGCTGAGAGAGAAGGACAGGGGCTGATTCAAAGGCACCAGGTGGCCTTGTTTGTTTGCCTCTGGGGAGGGGATTTCCATCTGGCCTTCTTTCCCCACCAGAGCCATCCCGGAGAGGTGTGCTCTGCTCTCAATCTCTGCGAGTCTCTTCAGAAGCATCTGGCAGAGCTGAATCACCAGAAGCAGCTTGAGTCCAATAAGATCCCAGAACTGGACATGGCTGAGGTGGTGGCTCCCTTCATGGCCAACATCCCCCTCCTCCTCTACCCTCAGGACGGCCCCCGCAGTGAGCCCCAGCCAAAGGTAAGGCAGTGGGCCAGGCCACTGAGGGCCCCATTTTTGGTTGGATTAGAGATGAAACGTGAAAGAGGCATGTGTGTGCTGTTCTTAAACTGGGGGCATATCCCTTCACTTGCCTCTGCAGCTGCACAAGCCAGCCTTGAAGTGGTTGTGCCACGGAGGTTCTGAAGAACCTGGGATATATAAAGTATGCAAAGATTTTTCTCCCTTCCTATGAGGTTTTGCTAAAATCAATGTCCAGTTGATTTTAAACTTGTTGATAATTTTAGAGCCTATAAAAACACATTAGGAACTGTTCAGTAAGTCACCCCCTAGTGCTGCAGTCATGAGCATGTAAGGAAATTTTCCTAGGAATTTTTGAATCCTCTTAGTTATTATAGGAGTATGCAGTGTTTACAGCCTAACCGCCTCGTCTCTGTAGGCTGGCGGAGATGTTTGCCAGGACTGCATTCAGATGGTGACTGACATCCAGAATGCTGTAAGGACCAACTCCACCTTTGTCAAGGCCTTGGTGGACCATGCCAAGGAGCAGTGCGACCGCCTGGGGCCTGGCATAGCCGACATGGTGAGCCTTATCTTATCTCCTCATGCATTGGAGGATGTTCTGGGCCAGGGAGCTGGGCTCTGGAGACAGGAATGGGGGAACCAAGAAAACTTCACTTGCTGGGGTACCATTTTAAGTTCCAGCATAAGGGCTTTGCAGAAGAGATTGTGCAAACAACTCCCTTTTCCTTTTATCCAGAAAGCAGCCAGAATAAAAGGAGGTTACTTAAATATTGTTGGTTAATTGAATTTGGATATGTAACAAAACTCTTGGGACAAAATAGAGGAAGGAGATCACTTTTGTGAACATTTTTTTCTCTTGGTGACCATATGTATAAGAAATAACACTGGAACCACTTATAACCCTGTTTTTAAAAGCCTGGCTGTTGTACATTCATAATTCTAAGTGTGCTCTCCCCACAGCCAGCAGGAAGCCATGCAGGCTGGCTTGCAGGAAGGTCACCCTGGATGCCTTCCTTACCTTGGTGAATGTTAGTCCTGTGGGCTCAGCCACTCATTTTGTTAGCCCCTTAGAGGCTTTTGTTTCCTGGACCCTGTTCTCTTCACATTAACCACACTCTAAGATTGGTGTGTAAAACCAAAGTGTCAGTTTAGAACCTGACAACTGAAAAACCTTTGCGAGGCTGGATGTGGGGAAGCCGGTTGTAATAACTGCGTGGGTCTAGGATCAAGAGCAGCCTTTCTGAGTGGGAATGGCTGGCTCTGGGAGCTAAGGGTTCCTCTCTGTTGACTTATTCTCTCCAAAGCCTGGGACTCTTTTAGCCTCATTGAAGCATCTTTGCATATTTGCTGTGTTAATTGGCTTCCCCAAGTTAACCCTCTCTGAGGGGTATTACCCTTGACTTTCTCACCTGGAGAGGTGCCCCTTTATGACCAGAGCTGTTCTGTGAGGGTCTATATAGGAGATACCTCGATTTGTATGAAAATAGGCAGTTAAAAAGCATCATAACTTGATTCTACTGGATTTAAACTTTATAATCCTTTCCAAGAATGTGTGAATGGATTTGAAAAGTAATCTCAGGTTCCTAGCAGCATATCTTGTAGCCAAGCTCATTCTAAATTGCTACTGAGTAGTTGCTGTGTGACCTTGGGGCAAGTTTGGGCCATAAAAGGAGACTGGAGGACCTCATCTCTAAGGGCCTTTGGAAAACATTTTCAAAACACCTTTTGTGCACGTTTTCCTATAAGGTATAGAATAATGAAATTGCCATTTTTATCTTATTAAAATTGCCTGGAGCAGATGTGATTAATGAGATTCTGCCCTTGGAAACTTGCTTGATAGTTGCCTGTTGACCCTGTTGGAAGTGCTGGGTTTCTGGTGTGTTATTGCAGCAGCGAGATCACTAACACTCTGTTTCTCTCCCCAGTGCAAGAACTACATCAACCAGTATTCTGAAATTGCTGTCCAAATGATGATGCACATGGTAGGTCACAGGGGAAGCTCCTTGTTAGCATTTTTCTTTGTCTCAAACTTTGTGATTTCTAGGAATTTTGAAAATTATATGGTTTAGTTTCTCTTTTTTACCTTCGAGTACTGAATAGGGCCAAGATGAGTCCTCTTTGACCGGCAGAGTCTTCACCTTTAACTCAGTCCCTCCCCCTTGCCTTCCCCAGCTGGAGGAAAGGCTGAAGCAGCCTGACCCCAGGACTGCCGTGGTGGCTTCCTGGAGGTTTGTTTGCCTGTGCAGATGTGAGCTGGCTTTCAGATTTCTAGTATCTATCTGGGTTTCACCCTGGGACCGTGGGAATAGTCTGCTCTGTAGCTAGGCCAGGCCTAAGAATTGCTGTTGCAGTCTGAGTTCTGAGGGCGGGGGGGATCCCGCCTCCCAGGGTTGGTCCTGCGCCCTGCAGCAGTGTTAGCTGGAGCTGCTGCTTGAGCCATAACTCCTGCACTTGCTTCTGATGTATCTAGTGGTAGGGGCGTTCCTTCATCATTGGAGGTAGAAGATAATGATCTGCGAAGTGAGCTAGCTGACTCCGTGCAGAAAACTGCCTTACAGAGCAGGGTGGGCTGGAGCCATTCTTATGTCGGGAACATGCACTGGCCTCCTGCAATCTAATCTGCAGCGGTTGAGGGGTGGGTTGCACGTTTTTCTGTCACTGCTGACTTTCTCACTACATTGAGATTAGCCTGCAGTCCTTGAGTTGGTCCTCTAACCAGGAGTTGGCAAACTATGGCCCACTATCTGTTTTGTAAAGTTTTATTGAAACACAGCGATGTCCATTTTGTGCTACAGTAGCAGAGTTGAGACCTTACAGTCTGCAAAGCCTAAAAGATTAACTCTTTGGCTCTGCTCTGACCACTCAAGGAGTCTATCTAGGCACAGTAGAGTTTATTTGGGATTATTACTCATATCCTACCTTGTCTAAAAACAATTTAAAGGCAGCTTACAAAGACATGCAGCTAGACTGGGGAAAAATAAGCCTTTGACGTGACTTTATCTAGTTAAGTGCTTCCTCATAGCTAACTAAAAACATTTTTTTCATTATAAAAGTTATACTACGTAGACATTTTTTGAAAACATGGAAAATACCTCCCAAGTCAAAAATCTTTTGGGGTTTTAAAAAATATCAGTGGGGTCAGATTTTACATAGTGCTTCAAAATTTGTAGTTTGCATTTTTGTCTAAAAATACATGTCATTAAATATTCTTGTACAAATCATTTTTAAGTGGCTGCATACTATTTCACTATGCGGATAGAACGTAATTTACGTAACCAGTCCCCTATGGCTGGATGTTCAGGTTTTCATGTTTGCCCGTGGGATAAAAAGCATGATGAACATCTTTACAGCCAAATTAGATACATATGCACGTCCCTATTTTTTCCTTTAGTATAGATAAAACTGGAATTGCTGAATGAAAGAGCAAGGCTTTTGATACATTGTCAGATCAGCCTACCAGGGTGGCGTCTGGCCACCTGGGGGTGGATGGCCCACACCTGGGCAGTGGGGAGTGTGGTTCGGGATCCCTGACCCCCTCTGGGTGTATTTTATGTTATAACACACACTCCTAATTTGGGCAGCCCTCTGTCTTGTTCCTTTTTGCTTCTCATCACCAACTTCGGTGGGGGGGGCCTTGTTGACACGGTGGGGTTAGACTTCTGACGATGGAGAGCCCTTCATAATGTGGTGTTTTCTGGGGACCTGCTGCCCAGTGTTTTGAGCGTGGTTTGGTGTGTCAGGGATGTGGGGGCAGTGCACACAGGAGCTGGACAGTGTGGTCTGGCCCTTGGGCAGAGTAGCTTTCAGGGCCCCCTTGTACACGCAGTGGTAGGAACAAGCTGGGTTGCTGACATGTGACTACAAGGGCATGTCCCTTAAACTTCTGACATCCTTATACCTGGTTAACTGCTTGATTATTGTTGTTTTAATTTTTTCTTAACTGTTGTGTCCTTTCCTTTCTCTTATTTTCATCTCCGATTTCCTGTTTTTTTGTTCAACAGCAGGATCAGGTATGTGACGGGCATTTGCTTATAGTAGTGGTCTGCTGCTTCTCGTAGTTACTTGGCTGCCCTTTTTTGTATGGCATGACCAGCTCTGACAGATACAAGGAATGATGGCGAAAGGCGGGGTCCCTGTCTGTTAATGAATAGGCTGGCGGGAGAGCCTCTGCACCTCTCCCCTGTGATTCAGCACTTGAGGTGTAGAGGGGGTCCTATTTCCTCTTCAGAGGGCCAGAAAATGAAGCCAGCAGAGCCTTGTGCTCTGGTCAGAATCAGTGCCCAGCTGACCACGTGCATGCCACCAGCGTGCTGATGGGGAACCATGGGTGGCCCTGGAGATGCCTCGGTTTCCTTCATTGTAGACCTGACTTCCGGTGGGACACCTTGTTTCTGTCATGACTCGAGAGAACACGTGCATGTCTTTAGTCCTGTGTTTCATAACCCCAGAAATGCTTCTGCTGCATGAGCAAGTCATTTGCAAATAGCAAGCAGACTCTTCCCCTGTCTGTTGGATCCAGAGAGTTGGAAACAATCTCTTGATTGTGGCTTCTGCCCCTCTGGGTGATGGGGTCCTGGGGGTTGCAGATCAGATGGCTCGAGAGCCAGGCTGTTTGGTGGCATAATATGGGGACTAAGCCCCACACCATACTTACTGAGCCAGTGCCCTTTTGGGGCCACCCTGAGCATTGCCCCCTCTGAGCACTGGCATCTATCTCTAAGATGAAAGATTTTCAAAGGTATTTTGAAGTCTAATGGGAGAGGACGTTAGCTGAAATATCTGCATTTTCACCTAGGTCATCTCAAGGAGTTAGTAGAACAAAGCTGATCTGAGACAGAATAGTCACGCACCTTCTGAATTGGTTTTTTTCCTAAACAGCTTGCTGTATCTTTGGCCCCATTCTGATTTTTTCCCCCCTATTCTTAAAGCGTGCCAAAGACAGGATACCTAGGATACGCTTTTCAGACTCCCCCAACCTTATTTAATTCTAGAGCCTTCTCAAGATTAAACAAGATGGACCATAGCCATGGTCTAGCCCTCTTCCCTTAACAGGTATCATTTTTAGCAATCCTGTTCCTGCTGCTTTATGGCTTGGTAGTGGGTGGGAAGTGTTATTAGGCCAGAGCCAGTTGCTGGTTGCATTTGGTTTACAAAGTGTACAAAGTATGTGTACTTTTCTTGCTCTTGGCCATCATCTTAGTGAAGTGGTCAAGGTGTTGTCCAGACTGTCTAGTTCTCTGTGGTTTGGTGTCTGGATAGGAAAGGGGATCCACCTGCAGACCTTGAGACGTGAAATGATTCATCAGTTGGGGGGGTTAGGTTTTTGTGTGTCCTATGTTTGTGCAATTGTGAACACAGAATGTGGTTTTTAAAAAAGCCAACATTTCCCCTTAATGCATCCTTTTAAGTGGTCCTGCCACTGAAAGATCCGGTGTGGTTTTATTTCTAACACGTTTGGCTTTCTGGTAGTTTATAGGCATAGTAGTTCCTCTTCCAGAAAGAACATATAGCTTACTTCCTACTGAGAGTGAACTAGCTCAACTGGAAAACAGGTTCTCGAGCAGACCAGGTGTCCTTGGAAGTGATCTGATTGCCTGTTAAAGGTGCTGGGAGTTTTGCTTCCCTGGGGTGGTCCCTCGTTGGAGCAGAGACAGCGGTTCTGTCTGATCTCCCTTCAGAGCTTTGCGTGGCCTCTTCCCCAATGTGAAATGGGTACACCTGTATTTGCATGAGCCCCTTTAGATTTAATATGGACTCTTTGCCTGTCTGGGGGGCAGTCAGCCTGGACACTGGGACCAGGGTGCTCCTCCCGCACCCCAACCTTTGTGTATAGAGAACGGTCCCGAGGGGTGGTGGGTGCAGGCCTGCGTCTGACTGCTTTTTCTGTGCTCTCTTCAGCAACCCAAGGAGATTTGTGGTCTGGTTGGGTTCTGTGACGAAGTGAAGGAGATGCCCATGCAGACTCTGATCCCTGGCAACGTGGTCTCAGAGAATGTCATCCCTGCCCTGGAACTGGTGGAGCCCATTAAGGTACCTAGTGTTATTGTTTTGTACTGAGCAGGGCTGTGTGATGCCCCACCACTCCATGTTGTGTCACATCCTACGAGGCACATGCTTTTTTGATTCCCTGCCTGGTTCCTAAAGGTATTTGAGACCATTAGTTTACGGTGTCCTCTCTGCTAATGCAGCACCCCCAGCTTCCCCCACCCCCAAACACACTGATTCCCTTGGTTATAAACCCTAGTGCTCATGGGATCAAGTCCGCAATTTTAGCATGCCTCCTTCCCCACACGGTAGCCATAGAACAAACTTGATATTCCCAGCACACCCCCAGGGCTCGTGCAGAAGCTTCTCGGGGCGTGCTGCCTGTGTGTGCACAGGTGTCTTGTTTCTCTAGCACCCTGCACTTAGTAGAAATCCTCCTTCATTCCATAATCAGTTGGTATTCAGCACGTCTTATGGGTCAGGCAGTGTTTTAGAGATTGAGGCCTACAACAGTTCACCTACAGTGGTGAACAACATTGTCCTGGTGTTCCGGGTGGAGACCATCCCCTTCCTCTACCAGCGCCCGGGCTGTGTGACATCTTATCCCCTGGCACACACATACACTTGTTGCTCCAGAACTTCCCTTGTCACCTGACCTTCAGCTGTCTCCTCTCCTCTTCCTGTCTTCTCTTGGCACATGCAGGTTGTGGACCACAGGAAGGCTTAAGGTGTCTGCTGGACTTGGGGAAACATTGCTGCCCCCCTTTCCCCCTAGTCGAGCTGCTCACAGGCCCTGGCCCCCCTTGCTGATTGAATTAATGGCCAGAGGAAATGAAGGAGAGTTATAGCTTGTACTCTAGCTACATATGGCTACTTAAATTTACATAAAATTAAACAAAAATTGAGAAATTCAGTTCCTTGGTTGCATTAGCCACATTTCACGTGCTCAGTAGACACACGTGGCTAGTGGCTGCTATATTGGACAACAGAGATAGAGAATGTGTCCATTGTCACAGAAGGTTCTATTCAACAGTATTGCTTTATTAAAGGTAGGGCCTAGAATAGCAGTCTCAGGTGCTGAGACTTGAAACTCAAGAGCAGACCTGAAATGTGTCTAAAACTGTGTTCCAAATGTAGATAGGGAATCCTCACTCTGTTCCTGCTCCCCCTCCCCCTCCCCAATATGAAGGCTGGAAGATGAAGTGATGGTAACCAAACACGTCGTCATATTGACAGCTCTTTGGGGTGGGGGGTGCTGTCACTGCTTCTGTCTCCTGAAGTATGCGTTTCTGGGTTTTGACGGGGGGTGGCCGGAGGCGCTGGTAGAGGATTGGGGAAGGGGATGGTCTCCACCGCGTAAGAAGAGCAGGGACGGGAACTTGGGCACGAGGAGGAAACCACACGTCATTTTGAGTTCAGTAGGAAGTGGCCCTTTGTGTGCAGCTCACCTCTCCCTAGCCTCTGTGTCCCCTCTGCTGTAGAGGAGTGGGACCAGGGGGTGAGGCAAGGTTCTCAGCGTTGTGTTCTTCTCCCCTGTCAACAGAAGGACGTGGTCCAGGCGAAGGCTGATGTTTACTGCGAGGTGTGTGAGTTAGTGGTGAAGGAGGTGGTCAAGCTGATCGACAACAACAGGACCGAGGTATGTGGATTTCCAGAAGGCTGCCGTCCTGACAGAGAGGAGCTCTCCTCTCTGTTGAGCCGGAATAGCCTAGTGGGAGAACCCACAGAGGAGGTGGGACTCTGTACAGCCACTTCCCACCAGTGGGTCCCTCTGGGCTGGGGCTGGAGGCGGCCACTTTCCCCTGCTCCGTACCTCCAGTCTTTTAGTGGAGAAAACAGCGCCTTGCTGTTGGCTGGTTTCCTGGGCGTATTAGTATTTTTAGAATCTCTCCTGCCTTCCCATCTTCTCACATGATTCTCTTGTCTTGTGTTTCAGGAAGAAATACTTCATGCTTTGCGTAAAGTGTGCTCAAAATTGCCCGCGTCTTTATCAGAGGAGTGCCAGGAGGTGGTGGACACTTACGGCAGCTCCATCCTGTCAATCCTCCTGCAGGAGGCGAGCCCTGAACTGGTGTGCAGCATGCTCCATCTCTGCTCCTCCCAGGAGCTGCCTGCACTGACTGGTGAGCCCGGTGGGGGTGAGGTTGGCTGGCCCCTCTCGGGTTTGGGGGGGCCCCCTGCCAGCACTGAGCCTGTGCTCACTCACGTAGCACACGTGACTCAGCTGAAGGACGGTGGCTTCTGTGAGGTGTGCAAGAGGCTGGTTAGCTATTTGGACCGCACCCTGGAGAAAAACAGCACAAAGGAGGAGATCCTGGCTGCTCTTGAGAAAGGCTGCAGCTTCCTGCCTGACCCTTACCAGAAGGAGGTATGCCCTGCGCTGCTTTTGGCCAGAATGTCAGAACCTGCTCAGGGAATGCTAAGCTGGGTAGCTAATTGATTGTACCCCCGACTGGCGTTTTGAGGGAAAACCGGCCATTTCTGCCTCCAGGCATGGAATCCAGGGTGGGTGGTGGGGCACCTGGGAAAGGAGGCCCTCAGCCCACCAGGCTAGCGGTATCAGGGATTCTTATAGAAGAGCATGTCCAGCACCCCTCCTTATGCCCCAACTCTGCTCGGGCACACCTAGACCTGGACCCATACCCCTGTTTACTCCACAGTGTGATCAGTTCGTGACTCAGTATGAGCCCGTGCTGCTAGAAATCCTGGTGGAGGTGATGGAGCCTTCCTTCGTGTGCTTGGTAAGTTCCGCTGGGCAGTGGGGGCTCTTGGGCACTGTAACCTGGGAGGTGCTGCGTGGACCCTGGAGGGATCCTCTGAGGTTTTTGACCCGTGGGGCAGAGTCTCTGGTGGTGGGTGTGGGAGAGCCAAGAAGATAGAGAACCTGGTTTTTAGGCTCTACCACTTTACTTAGCAACTCTGATTTTTTTGAAAGTACACGTAAGAGCTCTGATTTTAGCTACTTCTAGCAGCTGCTAATCTCAGTTTTGAAAAGGATTAGTTTGATGGATCTAATTATTCCTTCTTCGTTTGCCGTTTTTTCACCATATAGAAAATTGGAGCCTGCCCCGCAGCCCATAAGCCTCTTTTGGGAACTGAGAAGTGTGTCTGGGGCCCAAGCTACTGGTGCCAGAACATGGAGTCAGCAACCCAGTGCAACGTGAGTAGCTGAGCATCTGCTTCTCAGGCCTGCCTTGCCAGCTGGGCAGCTCACCTGAGAATCCTGCTTTACTAGGAGCCTCAGGGATTGGCTCTCCACCGTTGTCTGTGCATGTCAGGGAAAAAACTGAGGTCCCGAGAGACAATTAGGCTTACTCGTGGCTGTCCAGCACAGACAGGGCTAACTGCATTCTTGTCTTTGAGGAGTGAAGGGGGAGGTTGGATATTCTTTAGCATTTTTTGCTTCTGCTTTCTTGGTTTTGCCTTCAGTTCCCTTGTGACAGGGTCAGATTTGAACAAGGTCACCCCAGGGATTGCACAAGGCCTGTTGGATTCATTGCCCTGATTCTTGCAGAGTCCTCATGCCCCCCAGGTCACTTGAGCCCTGGCTGGAGCCTGGCCTGAATCTTCACCCAAGGCCAAGCAGAGCTCTTCTTGAATCGCCCTGTGAGTTGGCACCTGCTCAGCAGCCCCAGGGCACTGTGGCACTCGCATAGCTGGGCAGCTACCAGTTGGGTGACCCACACTGCTTTCCTGGGTGGGGATGTTTAGACCAGCTTCTGTTACTTAACATTCCTTTGCGTAACTTTTTCTTCCTCATGGGGGTTCCTTGTGACCAGTGGGGCCTCACTGTGCCGTGTCGGGGAGGTTGCATCATCTTGGATCACTGCAGGGAGGGCTGGCGAGGGCCACCCCGCCATGTCCAGCTTCCTCCTCCAGCCAGGCCCCATCCCATCTGCACCATCACCCCCACCCCACAGCGTGGTCAGTGGTGGAATAGGTTTCTGCTGCTGTCCTGGGTAAATGTGCTCATGGGTCTGTTTCTCAAGCCCAAGCTGGTGTGTACCTCTAGGTGAGGAGTTCTGCCTTGGGGGCCTCTGTGCAGCCTACCAGTGGAATGCTGGGGCCCAGGTGTGTAACTGGGTGAAGAGTCCTGGGCCCACCTGCATGGGTGCTCATCTGCAAAACACTGAAGTGCTTGCCTCTGCTGCTCGGGACTCCTTGTGAGTCCCCAATACTCAGATGGCCACATGCTCCCTGGTTTTGAGGGAGATGCTGTCCTGGGTCTTCAGCTATTGGTGCCATCTGGCTGACCTGGGACAAGATAAGAGGTCCCCGTTTTGGGTGATGTCTTTTTTTTTTTTTGTGAGGAAGATCAGCCCAGAGCTAAGATCCATGCCAATCCTCCTTTTTTCTGAGGAAGACCGGCTCTGAGCTAACATCTATTGCCAATCCTCCTCCTCGTTTTTCCCCCAAAGCCTCAGTAGATAGTTGTACATCATAGTTGTACATCCTTCTAGTTGCTGTATGTGGGACACAGCCTCAGCACGGCCGGACAAGCAGTGCATTGGTGCGCGCCCGGGATCTGAACCTGGGCCGCCGGTAGCGGAGCACGCACACTTAACCGCTAAGCCACGGGGCTGGCCCTTGGGTGATGTCTGATGCACTAATGGGCCAGGAATGGAGTTTGCCATCTGAAGACTAAACTCAGTTTCCTCTCTCCTGTCAGGCTGTTGAGCATTGCAAACGTCACGTGTGGAACTAGAAGAAACATTCCATCTTGGAGAAACCGCAGCATCTTTTCCTGCTTGTGTGTCTGCGGGAATGAACACACAGCTCTGTTGACTCTGTTATAAAATTAGGGTCCCCTTTCCCTCACTCCATTTCTTATCTCCCTTATTGTAGCATTGCTGTCAGCACAGGAGGTGCCGAGCCCACTGCTGGCACAGCTACTCCGGTGTCCCTTTTCTCTCTGTTAGATGGATGACGACATACTGTGCACTGGAGGTCCTTTAGCCTGCTCTTGCATGGTGGTCATCTGGAGGAGGGGGAGGGGGGCTCTGGGTGGTGGTGTGAGCCAGAGCTGCTTGACAGAGGCTGTCCATCCTCTCGGCTGGGGCCTTGTTCTGAGGCCTCCGCCTACCCTAAGGAGGGCCCTCCTCTTCCTGGGCCAACATGTTGGCTGCTATACAAAGAAGTGAAACAAAGGCAGTTGTATATGAAAGGTTAGAGGCACAGAACAATTAGGATTTTGAAACACCGTAGTTCTCACTGTTAATAGAGGTTTTGGAAGCAGCTGCTCAGGAGACCTGCGTGGGGCTTGGGGTGTGCTGCCCCTGGGTCAGCCCTTGATTCAGCTTTCCTGTGTCTTGCCTGGTGATGCTTTGTTTGGGGTTCTGTGGGTTTGGGTGGGAGGGGGAAGTCTGCCTGAATGTAACCTGCTAGCTCTCTGGAGGTCCTGTGGCCCTGGCTTTCGTGTGTGTGTGTGGGTGTGTGGGGGTGTGGGTGTGGGTGGGTGTGTGGACAGTGGTGACTGCCTCATGCCTGCTCTTATGTCTGCCTGGCTGCTGAGGCCCTGCTCTGTGTCTCTGCCCTGCTGCCCGGGCCCATTGCTCTGGGCAGTCAGTCCTCTCACCTCTAACCCCATTTTGTAGATGTTCTTTTTGACCTTCAAATAAATGTGGCCCCTGGCTTCCGGGTAGAGGGCCTGCTGTCTGGGGGCCTGGGCTGCCGCTCTGCCTCCTCTGGTTTGGGTGCATCTTCTGTTCCACTCTGGTTGCCAGGGAACCACAAGACGCAGTTGCTTTGAGACTTAGGATTGTTTTGTTTGTTTTGCACTAAAGTGTCTGTGATTTAACAATAAAGTCTGTCAGCCACATGTGGGCCTGAGTGTTTCTGTGACACCTCAGCCAAGAGTTTGATTTCTGATTAGCTCCAAGGCCATGGACCCGTAGGTGCCCAGCATTCCTATGGCCCCTCTTGGCCAGAGAAAGTGAAGTGGGTAAGGAAGATCCCACCTGGTCCTCCCTGAGAGACCCAGGGCCAGCAGTGGGTCAGGGGAGCACCTGGAGGTTGGTTCCAGATCTGCCCTGCCCTTCACGCCCCCCCCCCCCCGTGCCCCAGGCCAGCCACGCTGGTAGTTTACCAGAGTCAGAGTGTATTGCTGGTTCCTTGTCTTTTTAAAATTCAGACCATTCCAGAAACGTTTGGTGAGTACTAGTTAAACAAAACAAAGGGGAAACTAATGAGGGAATAACTTAATTTAAAAAAGGAATACACACGAACACGCGACATTCTAAACCCAGGGGAACATCAGTCATTTCTCTTTATGAGCCCACACGTCTGGGAAGCCAGTGAAATGGAAAGAATTCGGTTGCTTCGCTGACATTGACCTTGTCCGTGGGGGGAGGCAGGGATCACTTACTGTCCCCACCTGGATGTCTCGCCAGTGATGTAGCAGAAACGCACTGGGACTCGAAGTCGGAGTCAAGGCTAGGTAGGGGACGCCAGCCCTGGGCCTCCCTCCCCGGCGCCGGGCTCCTGCCCTGTGTGGGGGACGGGACGGGATGGGGATGTACTGGGGAGGGTCCAGGGGAAGAGGGTCTGCTTGGCCTCTTTCAGCTCAGCCTGGGCTGAGTTGGTCCTCAGACTGACTCCTGGGCCCCCAGTGACCATCCTTACCTCGTCCTTAGACACTTAACATTTTTGTTTGGTTTTCTTAAAAAAATAACAAATTTTATGAAGGTAGAGATCAGATGCTGAATGAGCGCCTGGCAAAGTGGAATCTGTCTGAGCAGCTGATGCTGGCCACTGTTGCCAGTCCACCCCAAGGTTGGACACCCAGGGCTGGCCTGGGGAGGGGCCCACACCCCTCGGTCCTGCCCTTGCCCTGGAAGGGGGTGGGGGACAGGTGCGGCTCCACCAGTGAGGCTCCCCTTCTCATCATAGCTCCGTGATCTCCAGGGGACTCTCCATGATGACGTCTCGAAGCTTGTGCAGGGGCGTGGACTTGGCGGACTCTGTGCGGGCGTTGCGCTCGAAAGCGCTGGCCTCGGCGGCCGTCAGCGTCTCCAGCGAGCGCCCCAGGCCCTTCTGGTCATCTTCGGGCAGGCTGTTGAGGTCAGTGGCCAGCAGTGTGCCCGTGCTGCCCTGTACCATGTGGATCCCATCGGGCCCTTTGAGCTCCATCAGTGGCTTATGGCGGAAGCGCAGGCTGCCTTGGCCCGGGCTGCGCTCCCCTGGCTCCTCCTCCAGGTCGGTCTGGATCAGCTGCAAGAGGCCAGGCCCCCAATGGCTCAGGGACCCCAACATGCTCAAGGCTATGCCCAAGGGTTGCATAGGTGGATGGCCCCAGGGTCACACCTGCTATGTGCCTGTTTCCTCCCTACCACGTACAAGGAACCCTGGGCTCGTGCCACAGCAGGCCTGTCCACCTCTTGACTGTTTCTCAAGCTGGGTGCAAAGGGGAACCGTGGATACTTACAGTGCTACAGATGTGTTCTCTGGAGTGTGGGCTTCCTATGAGATCTTTTTAATTTTCTATATTTGCTTTGATCTATCAAGATCCTGTGATGTAATTGCGTATCTGGGTTTGTTGCCAAGTTGGCCTCAATCAGGATCAACTCTAATTGTGGCCAGGTAGGAAGTGTCCCCAGGTGAAGCTGGAGGGGATGAAGAGGGTGTAGTGGAGACTCACAAATGGGGCTTCTGTCCCATGTCGAACTATTCACTGTTAGCCTCTTCTGGTTGGGAATGTTGGCCCAGCTGGAAACCTGGGTTTTTACATAAAGTCTGACTTTTTAAAGTGTTGACATAGTCACTGCAGGTAAACAAACATGTAGACCTATTTGACCCTACAGTCAGTTTCTTAAAATGACATTACCCCTCAGAGGTATCCTCTTGGGGTTCCTCAAATCTGAGAAACACTGCCTCAGTGCCCACCCCATCCGTGAGAAAGCCCACTGCAGAGCCTAGAAGGCAGAGCCTGCTGCCTGACTTTCTGGACTCCTACCCCTTGCTGTGTTTGGCCCTGGCTGTTGAGCTCCAGAGACTGAGGGACGAGGGCAGCAGGAGAGAGAAAGAGAAGAGCGTGAGCACCCCCAGGGCTGGGGCACGGCACACAGCTCCCTGGCACGCCCAGCTACCTCGGAGATGGAGGAGTGGCAGGAGGAGGCTTTTTGCACCATCCGCTGTGCAAAGAGCTTTTTGAGCCGCAGGTAATCCTCCAGGACCACCTTCAGCAGCGAGCCCTGAGGGAGGGAGAGGGTTAACCCCCTACCAAGGCCCTCCCCTGCCTGCCCCACTCCTCGCTCACTCCCATAACTTGGATGGGGATGATGGACGGTGACTGGGAGTCTAGGATGCACAGGTGTCTGATGCTAGGGTAGAAGATTGGGACCAGAGCCTGGTGACAGTCGCCAGCCAGAGCCTATGTGAGCTCACGCTGGAGCCCTGGCCTCGAGGCCACTGCAGGCTGAAGCAGCTCCTTAGCCTGGGGCCCTGGCCCCTCTTTCTGCCCTGGTGTTTTTGCCCCAGTGGAGGGCAGGTTTAGCTGAGCCTAGAGGTGGAGAAAACTGTTTCCCAGGATCCTCCCCCATCCTTGGATCCCCTGAAGGGGGTCCAAGCTCAGCCAGGAGTCTGGGTGCAGGCCCCTGCGGGGTGCGGTGCAGGAGCCTGCAGGGAGGGCTCACCTTGATGGGCCCCTCCCGAATGATCTGGCCCAGCTTGGCAATGTTGTCGTACTCCTGGATGGCTGCCCGCAAGTACCGGTCATCATCAGGCTTGACCGCTGCTGGTTCACGCCCAAAAGTTCCCTGGAGAGAGGGGACATTAGCTGGAGCAGAGGTAGACAGCACGCGCACATGTGCACGTACACACACACAGGGCAGTGGACCACCTCCCAAAGAGCCCAGCTCCTTGGCTGGGGGTGGCGAAGACTTACCCTACCTCCATCCTGTCCCTCGTGATTGCCCACCCCCTGCCCTGGCCCTGGCCCTGGCCCTGGCCCTGGCCCAGGCTCACGTGGGTGCGGGTGGGGCTATTCCACAGGTCAGCGATCTCACTCAGGTTCTCCGGCAGGTCGTCCTCGTGCTCAGCCTGGGCGGCCAGCTCCAGGTTTCGGCAGAAAGGATCCAGCCACACAGGATTGGCCCTGTAGGTGGGCAGGGGGGTGGGGTGAGGAGGGAGGCTTGAGTGGACAGATGCCCTCGCAGCCTCACCCCAACCCCTGCCCATTTCCCTGGCCAACAGTAGTACCTTTCACGGGACTGGGGTTCAGGGCCATGAGAAGCAGGCCCCTTGCCCGTGGCACCTGTGGGTGTGTCCTCCCACCTTAGGATCCCGCTAGAACCATGACATGGCAGTCTGGATGAGCTTTGGTGTGGAGTCCTCACCCAGTACCTGGTGCCCAAAGTCTATGCTCCTCTGGAACTTGGGGACCCATCAGGGGTGGGGAGCCCAGCTCAATGACATGGTTTCTGAGGGTAGAGAGGGGTGGCCAGCCCACCAGGGGGCACCCATGCCCCAGGTTTCAGCCAGTCTGCTCCTTCATTGCTTGGGAGGCAGCAGGGAATTCACCCCAGCTGGGTCCTTGGCAGGCCTCCCCAAAGTGCACCAGGCAGGGCTTGGAGACTCTGCTCACCCGTCAAAAGAATACTTGTTGGTGTTGGGCATGTCCATGATGTCAATGAAGCCGCGATTCCCTGCAGGGAGAAGGGTTGGGGCGTGGAAGGGAGGGGTATGCCCTACTGGGGCTGGGGGAGCCTGGGCCCAGCCCAGGACCTGAACCAGCCTTGTGAGGTCTGGGCAGCCACTCTGAGCCCCCAGGGGCCCCTCCTGCCCTCTCACTGCCCCACCCATCACAGCCCTTGCTCACCTGCTGAGCCTGCCACAATGGCTTTGAGCTTCCTCTTGTGTCTGGAGAGGAACAGAGAGAGGGACTGGCATCTCAGGGCCCATTGGCCCTCCTACATCCGTGTCTGTAGGAGCAGGGCCAGTCAGCCGATCTCAGGGCAGGGGGTGGGGGTCACTCACACGGTCCTGTAGTACCAGTTCATGAGAATGAAGAGCATGGCAGCCAGGAACAGGAGAATGGCCAGGACAATGATCGCCATCTAGGCAAACAGGGCCAGACATGAGCGGGTGAGAGCACCTGGGGCAGCGAGGGGGCTGTGGGCGCGGGTGCCACCAGGAGTACCTGCAGGGCAGACATGTCGTCGGGCAGTCGGACAGAGATGGCGGGCTGCACGTCCAGGACGTTGTAGTTCCGGAACAGATTCCGCAGCTGTTCCTTGTTCTCGTCGATCATCTGGATCACCCTGGGTGAGGGGCAGGGGCCTCAGCTCCCCTCCTCAGCCATCCCCCAAGAGCTTGCCACACTCAGGCCAGTCGGGCCAGCTCCTGCTTTGGACCCCCAAAGTCCACCCCCCACAAGCCTTGCAAGATTAAAGGCCATGCAGCTAGGTAGCTTTGTATCTTATAGGGTTCACCATCCCTTCATACAGGATCCTGTTTGATCCTTACAGTCGGTGTAATACTCCCCTTTTATAGATGGGGAGAGTAAGGCTCAGAGGGGTGGAGCTCTGCTCATACTTCCAGACTGTTTTCTTTACCAGTCCTGCCCACCTCTGCGGGAGAGCCCAACACAGCAGGCCTGATGGTGGTGTCTGTGCCTCCTTTGGTGGGTCCCCTCCCCATCTTCAGGGCAGGAGGCAGACTGACAGTCTGAGCACAGAACCCCACCCACCGGTGCACATCCAGGATGCGGTTGGTATCACGGTTCACCACATGGATGAGCAGCTCTGTCTGTGCGAAGTTCACTTGACCCTTCTTGTCCACGTGGAACTAGGCAAGAGGGGGCATCATGGGGTGTGACAGGAACAAAGGGTGGGATGGGATGGGCAGGCATCTTCTAGGAGCCCCTCCTGCCCTACTCTACCAATAAACCATCACTACTGAATGCTTGCTGAGGACCAAGCACGATGCCAATCACTTCCCAGCACTGGGCCAGGCACTATTATTAGCCCCATTTTACAGATGAGGCAACTGGGGCCCAGAGACCAAGGTCACACATTGAGGGAGCACATACACCCTTTCATGCCCCTGACCTCTTTGCAATGTCCTGTCCCTCCTTGCGGCCTGGTCCCCCTTCTCCCTCCACTGCCCCTAGCCCCAGGTGGGTTCCATGGGGCACCTGCACATCATCTGTGTTGACGATGGCACCAGTGATGTTGGAAAGCAGGCGGATAAATTCCTCCTCAAAGCCACGCACGCGGTCGGGGATCTCATTAATGACGATCTTGACGCGCTGGTCATCCCTCAGGATGTAGATGCCGATGACAGCCGTGTCATTGTGGCCTGCCAGGTCCCGGGCCACGATGTCCACCACAAAGTAGCCAGGGCTGTAGGCCATGAAGAGGTCGAAGGTGCGCAGGATGCCATCCACGCTCCCTGCAGGAAGAGCCCAGGGAGGGTGCAGCTCAGGGGCCACCCAGTGCCCCCAGTCCCCCGGGACAGGTGGACACATGGAGGGGAGGCAGCATGGGCCTGCAGCGACTCGGGACACAGACGCCTGCAGAGCCCAGCAAAGCAGAGATGAAAAAGGAGTGGGAACAAGTGACGTGGATGTCCATCTGAAGGGGCCGCGGTGCAGGCCTCAGCTTGGCTGATTATTGTCACGGAGAGTGCAGCCTGTGCCGCCAGAACCTGTACCTTTTCTAGAGATTTCTAGTGAAATCTCCTGATTTTTAACTATTGACCTAAGTTTTAATTTAAACACTCTGCATATTAAAACACAAACTGTGGGCTGCGCTGGCCCAAGGGTGACGAGTTTGGGACTCTGCTGCCCCATGCTGGGGTACTATGGAACACTTCTGAGCCCTCTTAGTGTCTGTCTGTCTCTCTCTCACACACATGTACTTCAGAATTCCACAATCATAGTAGAGAGATGACCAGAGGAGGTACAGCACAGTCTTCTCTTAGAAGACAGTAGACCTGGGTTCAAAATCTGCCACTTTCTAGCTGTGTGACCTTTAGTAGGCTGCTTAGCCTCTCTGTGCTTTAGTTTATTAAAATGAGAGGAGTGGGAGCTCAGAGGACACAGGAATGGTGTCTGGTTGTGTGACTGGAGGAGGTGGCCTATGAACTAGATTTTGAAGGATGGTTGAGAAGGAGCGTATCTGAAGGCAGAGGCGAAGGTCAGGATGGTGTTCCAGGAAGTGAAAACAGAGGGATCAAAGGCCCAGGGGAGGATGGTGTAGAGCAGGCTGAAGGAATGGTGAGCAGTTCAGCTTGGCTGGGCACAGGGCCCTTAAGGATAGTAGGGGACTGGAACCAGAAAGAGGGATTAGGAAGAAGACTTGGTGAACCTCGAATGCCAGGTCACGGAGTCTGGATTGACTCCTATAGACAGAGAGGAGCAGGGAAGGGGTTGGGGCTGGAAGTAAGGTAATGGGATGCCCACAGGGACACCTTCTAGAACCTGACCCAGAGAGGCTCAGCCATTCACACAGGCAAATGCACACTTGTACCTACAAGTGTGCTTTTTGAATTCTGGCTCCCCAGTGCCCAATACAATGACACAGGAGAGGATGAGGTGCACAAATGGAAAGATAGGTGGATCAATGGAAAGGAGAATGGGAAGATGGATGGATGGGTGAATGAAAGAGGAAGGGTGGATAGATGCATGCATAGGTGAATGGGTGGATAGATGGATGGATGAATGGGTGGGGAGATGGATGGATAAATGATGGATGAAGAGATGTGAAGAAGGAAGAAAGAAAAGGAGGAAGTGCATGGGTAGATGTAGAGATGGAGAGGTGGATGAACAAAAGGAGTAACAAATGATTGCTGGCTGGTTGCCTAGATGAATGATGGATGGATGGGTGGATGAATGGAAGGACTGACATGGCTGGCTGGCTGGCCACCCATATTCTGTGGTGCCCACACAGACCCCATCTCCTCCAGACTACAGTCCACGCAGTGAGAGAGGTCTTGGCTGGAGGCCACCCATATATGACTAGGCCCATACCCATGGTGAAGACCTGGCCTACGTCCTCAGAGTCGTTGGCAAGGGCCCGGAAGTAGTGGATGCCCAGGATGCTGTAGAAGACCAGGCTGTTGTTGCCAATGTCTGCGTCCAGGGCCAGCACCTGGATCAGCTCTGAGCCCACCTTGGCATCAGTGGCCACTCCTGCAGGAATGGGCAGGCAGGTGTAAGTGGTAGGGCAGGGGCCACCCCGCACCCTGTGCCCAGGCTCCAGTCCCTGCACCTGCAGTGTACTCAGCCTTGGTGAAGCGTGGTGGCTGGTCATTGATGTCCTCCAGCACGACGTGCACCTCCTGCAGGGTGAGGTCAGTGACCAGATCGAGGGCTGGGGAGGGCCCACGGGGAGGTGTCCAGCTGCGATTGCTTGAGGCCTTGACAATGAAGGAGAAGACGGCTTCCTGCTCCCGGTCCAGGTCCCGCAGCACCAGCAGACGCCCGTCGGGATGCAGATGGAAGTTCTTCTCTTCGTTGCCGGCTGAGGGTGGCACCACGGCACAGGGTGAGGGCAGGGCCGGAGCACATTTAGGTCATCTCCAGCCCCAGGGTAGGTAGACACTAGCCCCATCAGGCCTCACCTGCGATGAAGTAGTACACGATGGCGTTGGGGCCCTCATCTGCATCCACGGCGCCTGACACGTTGCCCACGAGCGTGCCACGTGGGGAGTGCTCGGGCACTGTCAGCAGCTGGTACTGGGGGCTGCCTTTCTGCAAGGGGGAGGAGGATGTCTTCATGGGAAGCCAAGGGGAGGCCCTCCCAGCTTCTGCCAGAGGCCCCAGGCAGTGTTTTTACAGGTGCTGAGGGAGTCTACTGCCCACGCCTTGTGGGGTGAGCAGAACTGCTGTAGGGGCAGAGCGCGGGAGACCCCAGCTCTGCCCTCAGAGAGTGTTGCCCAGTGACATCCTCCCTGAGGGCAGGGCTGGGCTTGGCATGTTCTCTGAAGTATTCCAGTACCTGAGTGGATGTTTGAACGAGGGCTCAAACTCTCTCATATGCACATGCATGTGCACACACTCACACAGAGTCTCTAGGGAACATCACATCCCATGTGCACACAAGAAGAAAAAACCACCAAGTCCGAGATCTGAGTCCACATGAAGGGGCTCAGCCCAGCTCAATAAAGCAGCGCTGATTTTCAGGCTTCCTGGGGGTGGTGTGAGGCATCAGAAGGTCAGCTCTATGAGTCAGGCCTTTTTGTCTGCTGGGTAATACCTTGAAATAGTAGCTGCTCAATAAATCTTTGTGCTATGAGGTGCGTGCAGGTTTCTGTGTGCAAGCACGTGTGTAGATGGCAAAGGGGGCACAGGGGAGCAGTGTGCTGCGTGTGCTTGCAGGCAGGGAGTCCTTGTGTGGGCGTGACCGGCGCAAGGGATGGGTGAGCTCACTGGAGGCCTCACGAAGAGGGGTTCATTGTCGTCGATGTCCTCCAGGGCCACCTGCAGAGGCTGCATGGTCTCGTATGGCACCGGCTGGCCCAGGTCGCTGGCCACCAGGATGAGCTGGAGGCGGGAGTGCAGTCAGAGGCGGAGACTGAGGGCTCTAGCCGGGCACACCCCGTGGGCCAGGTCACCACTCTCGCAGGCATTCTAGGTGGGGAGGTGGTGGCCCTGCGCCCAGAGGAAAGCCCCTCCCTCGGCCCCGCCCCTCGCGCCGGGCCACGCCCCCTTACGCTGTACACGGCCTGCTTCTCGCGGTCCAGGCGCTGCGCGGTCTGGATGAGGCCGCTGACTGGGTCGATGGTGAAGTACTCCCAGTCCCGGTTGCCCGCCGTCTTCAGGAAGCTGTAGCGCACCGCCCCATTGAGGCCCTCGTCCTTGTCTGTGGCGTAGACCTCGTACACGTTGGAGTGCAGCGGGATCTCCTGCGGGGGGGGGCATGACAGGGAGGCTCCTGGGGCATCTGAGAGGATCCCAGCTCCCAAGCCAGGATGGAGTTCTTGTTCTTTCTCCTTCCATAGCAGAATGTCCTTGCTGCCTTCCAGCATCCTTAGGAAACGCCTGCCTGCTTGGCTGGACTCTCCTGGAGTCTGAGTATCTGCTAGAACATCCCCTCACTCCACCCCCAGCCAAGGCCATTGGCCACTGATGCTCCAGCCTGGGCTCCACCATGCTCCAGACTCTCTCAGGGTGATCACCCTTCCCACCAATCCCATTGCATGCTGAGGTTTAGAAGACAGAAGGAGGATCCAAAAGCTGAGGCCCCAGCCACCCTCTGTTCCCGGGTCTGTCTTGCTGTCTGCTACCCTAAGCACAGGTGCTCTAGGTATCCCCAAACACCACCATCCACCCAGTGGGGTACCTGAAAATGGGGGACAGGCAGGTGGGGTGACATGGTGGATAGAGACTGGACACCTGGGTTCTAGTCTGTTACTAATTCACCGTGTGACCTGGACATGCCACTTCACCTCTCTGAGCCTCAGTCTCCTGAATCCCTTGAGTTAAGTAGACTTGAGTTAAGTAGACATCACAAAACCTAACTGACCCATGATAAGGCTGCCCAGGGCACAAGAAAAAGAGCAAGTTTCTTTGCTTTTAGTTGAAAAATTATCAGCTCAGCATGGTGTCACTGTTTATCTCATTGATCATGACAATCAGAAACTCCAAATGGCAGTTACATCTAATTAATAGAAAGTGAGACGACAAATAGATAATTACTTAGCAAATGCTGGTTGTTTGGGAGACGTGAATATTTTAAAATATGGAGCCCTGGAAGGGAAAAACTTAGTAAGTGGTGCCTTTGGCGTGGAAAAGAACTAGATTATTATTAAATTATACCCTGCCTCATTCCATGACAAAGATTTGAGGCAGCTTACAAGCATGTATAAGTTATAATAAGAGTGAACAAGTTAAAAAAAATCAGGTTAAAGAAAAAAATCATTGACAGGAAGATGGAAACTGAGAGGTGGAAGGCAAAGTGTGTGTGCTAAGTCCCTGCAGGGTCATTCAAGGTGCGCTGACTACTCTTGAGCTCCCTAGTGGGCAAAGCAAAGAGGACCACTCACTCATTGCAGTAGACACAGGTGGAAACAAACCACAAGTTAAAGGCGCAGTGTTTCCTAGAGCTTAGTCCTGGGAGACATTTCTCCCACGGGACCTCAAAGAGCAGAGAGTGACAACAAGGACTTAACGCTGACATTCTGAGATGCGGAGACATGGTAAAGTTTGGGGAGCAAAGAACAAGTAGGAGATACCCTCATTATACCACCAAGGAGCATTTGGGCCTGGGTGCTGAGAGGAAGGAGGGGAAGAGTAGGAGACAAAGGCATTCTTCCCTATCTTTACAAGGCAATTTAGGGCAAGGAATGAAGGAATTGGAGAGACTGCAGAGCCTCAGCCACTTCCCCTTGTTTCTTATTTTGATGCCCATCCTCACTCCCAGGCTGTCTCCACATTGGTATTAGCAGGAACAACAGATAGACGGAAGGGGCGTGTGTGTTTATTTTGAGACAAGTCAGGGGAAGTGGGTTTCTGGAGAGACTGTCTTTCTTGGCAGACATCTAGGAGCAAGAGATGGGGCATCTACTATTATTAGTCCCATTTTGCAGATGAAAAAACAGACTCAGAGTCACTTGCTCAAAGTGATTGGGCTGGTAAGCAATAGAGTTAGACTTGGACCCAAGACCTTTTGCTGGCACAGCCCATATTACTAACCACTGTTCAGTACTGCCCTGTGTGGCACTGAGCAAGTCTGTTTCCTACTCTGGCCTCAGTTTCCCCACCTTCACCATGGGAGCCCTTCACTCTCCCAGGCGTGACTGCAGGATGAAGTGGGCTGGATATTGGAAGGGGGATGGTGGTAGGCAGGAGGCCCCGGGGGACAGCTGTACCTCTCTGATGTGGAGGATGGTGCCGTTGGGTGGGCGCACGAAGACAGGGCGGTTGTCATTGACGTCGATGACCTCCACCAGGAGCATTGTGGTGCCCCAGAGTGGGGGCTGTCCACTATCCGTGGCCACCACGGTCAGGTTGAACCTCTCATAGGACTGCAGTGGCCGCTTTGTGGTCACCAGACCCGAGTCCATGTCCACGTGGAAGGCCTCTGGCAGGTGGGGCAGGAGAGCAGGGTATGGTTCTGGCTGAGACGTCCTTTCCACCCCTCCCCCTCCTCCTGGCCTGGGGCTGCAGGCAAGGCAGTCTGCCCCTCCCACCCCCTAAGGCATCATGGATGGTGAGCAGGCTACGTACCCACTCCAGGGCCCTCAAGTGAGTAGGCCAACTCCCCATTGGAGCCCTCATCCTGGTCGGTGGCCATCATGGTGATGACCGAGGTGCCCGCTGGCTCATTCTCGTACACGCTTGTGCTGAATTGGGGTTTGGAGAACTGTGGCCGGCAGTCATTGACGTCCAGCACCTGGATCACCACCTGGAGGGGAGGTTGAGGTCAAAGGTCAGGAGCATACCAGGGGCTACTTCAGGCGACTCGGTCACACAAGGGTAAGCCAGAGTGGATAGTGCCCACCGTTGGAGTCTGACCTCAGACAATTTATTTAATCCCCTGAGCCTCAGTTTCCTGAGCTGTGCACTGGGGACAACAGTGTCTTATCTCTCAGGGGCTTGTGAAGCTCACCCATGATGGTATATGCTAGAGCGTGATGGTATACGGGCAGGGCCTGGCCCGAGTAAATGCTCAGCAACTCGTACTGCAGGTCACAGGTCATCTGTGTCTGGGCCCTGAAGCAGGGAGCCCTCCCTGCGTACCTCCTACTCTGTCCTCTGCTCACTCCCACAGTGGCCCTTACATCTGACTCTAATCACTGGACCTTAATGCTGGACTGTGATTCCTCCACTCCCAAAGGTCCCCTCTTCACTGGGATTTGTGTCTGGTCTGGGACTTGGCTCTCTCAGCTGACCACACAGCCCAGGGCAGGTCCTATGGACACACGAGGCCAGGAGGCCTTTTTCTTCCCTGGCTGCTGTGGCCCTGCCTGACTGCACCCTCACCAGAGCCCTCCACAGCAGTGGTTTTAAGAACCCCTTTCAGTGCACAAAGCACATTCCAACCTCCCATCTCCCTGACTCACCACTGCCCTGGGAGGGAGGCATTATCATTGCTGCCCCTGCCCCCTACCCCCTGCAGATTTGACAAGCGAGGCTCAGAGAGGTTACGTGACAAATGCAGTGTGCGCAGCTCATGGAACCTTAGTCTTCTGACTCCTAATACTGTGCTTTTCCCAACACAGGACCTGCCTGTGTGACAGGGACAGGATTCAGATATGTGTGAACACTCCCAGCCCCTTTCCCCTCCTTGCTAAAGAGAATTTGTCTATACCCACCCAGCTTCTTACCGCCCCACACTTTGGGAGAGTTTTCTGTGGATGGTTAGGCTATTGAGAGAGAACTGGAAGAACCGGCAGAAAACAGAACTGGAGAAGGAAGAAAGAAGGGGGGAAGAAAGAGCGAGCAAGCAGAGCCTCAAGGTGGGGGACTTTGGATAGAAATGAAGACAGAGCTTAGAAGGTGGGGCGCTGGCCTCAGAGCAACTGGGTGGATGCTAGAACTGGACTGGGAATGTTATGAATTTGACCCCTCACTAATGTTCTTTTTTTTGTGTGTGTGAGGGAAGATCAGCCCTGAGCTAACATCTGTCGCCAATCCTCCTCTTTTTGCTGAGGAAGATTGGCCCTGGACTAACATCTGTGCCCATCTTCCTCCACTTTATGTGGGACACCGCCACAGCATGGCCTGACAAGCGGTGTGTCAGAGTGCGCCCGGGATCCAAACCTGCGAACCCCGGGCCGCCGCAGCAGAGCGCACACTTAACCACTAGGCCACCAGGCTGGCCCCTCACTAATGTTCTTTAAGAGACATAAATAAAGAATTGCTTTATAACTATGTTTGGTTGCTGGACTGTGTTTCTTTCAGCAGGACACCGTGGAGACAATGGGCCGTGGAGCCCCAGGCTTTATTTGGCTTACACCCAGGGATGTTGAGCCACCTTAACAGGGGTTTGGCACAAGAGATTTCTCCTAAAGAGTCCTCAGCCTCCTAAGCTGCAGCCATTGTGACCCATCCAGCTAAGCCCTTGCCTTCTCCTTCCTGCCACCATGTCTCTGAGGGGACCGGGTGGCTCTGCTCCCGCTCTGAGCAGTCCTTCTCTAAAGACTTTGCTTGCTGCCTCCACAACCCCAGGCCCTAGTATCCCTGGCCCAGGCTGGCACCCCTCACCTGCACCGAATTTTCTCGACGATTGCTGGCTACATCCCCAGGGTTGTCTTTGCCCAAGGCAGTCAGGATATAGTGGTCCTTCTTCTCCCGGTCCAGAGAGGACAGCACATAGATGTCACCCTAGTTGGGGGGAGGGCGGCATCAGGGCCTTCGTCAATTCAACAGGTATTTACTGAGCGTCTACTACATGCAAGACAGTGTTCTGGACTCCAGAGACACAGCACTGAATGGAAGAGACAACAGCCCCTGCCCCACGGAGCTCTCATTCTAGTGGCTCTTCTTGCCCTGCTACCCCAGTCCACCTGGAGATGGATGAACAGCCCAGGCTGGAGCTCACTACCTGACGAGGTACACAGTAGTACTCCATAGATATTCGCTGTTCATAGCGCCAGGCCAGGAGCATGTCTGACTGTTCACACCAAACAGGAAGGACAGAACCCTGCTGCAAGGGCAGAGTGCAGGGGGATGTGGGCAGGGAGAGGCGGTGGGAGGGAAAGTCCAGTTCCAATCCAGCAACTGGGGAAGGCCCTGCCTGACCAGCCACCCGCAAGCCACAGGGCTCTCTCTCTCTGTACTGAAAGCAGCAGCTTTGAACTAATTTGCAGACATTTGAAATCATCACCCATCTTTCCTCCTGAGTTTCTGCTCTCCCACAAGTCTGAGACTCATGGGGCCATGGGGGATGCACCTGTGGGGGCTTCTTCCCTCCCCCAGCACTGAGTATAGGGCCATGTATACAGTAGGTGCTCAAACACTACGCCGCTGTTTTGACAGTTTCAAAAAGCAGTCACATGAACTTGAATCAAGTTTTCTAGTCTGGTGGGGACACATCTCAGAAATTTTTGTCCCACAGAGGGCTAATACCAAAAGATTTTGGCCACTTCCTTCCATGTCTGCTGGGATAGAAAGGCCGCAGTCTACAGGATGTCTGGGACTCTGAGAACAGGGCTTGCTGACTTGGCTAAAAAGACTCTGCGGCTACAGATGTCCAGGTGGCAGGACCCCGATGACTACGGGGGGATGACTACAATACTTTTGGTGGCTTCTCAGCCTATGACCCTGGGCCCTTCCCACTTCCCACTCCCCAGACCCAGGCCCTCCATCGCCCGCTTACCGTAGTGGGGTTGATGGCAAACTTGCCCTCTCCATCCCCGAGGCTGTACTCAATGAGGGCAAAGTTGCCTGAGTCGGCATCAGTAGCAGTGACTGTCAGGATGACTGTGCCCACAGGCACATCCTCAAAGACGGCTTCCTGGAGCCCAGTGGGCAGGGAGAGAGAGTAGGCCAAAGTCAGTCCTAGAGTCTATGCCCCTGCCCTGGGAACTCACTGATGCAGAGAACTCAGGGCATCAAGCTGCTCATGGGCTGGTCACTCCCATGGGGCTTAGAGGCTGGCAGAGTGGGAGTGCAAGATGCCCAAAGGCCCCAAGGAATGGGCCCAGGTCCTGGACCCAACCTGTTGGCCTGGCCACCCACCTGGTAGGAGGGCTGATCAAAAATGGGGTTGTTGTCATTGATGTCCACAATCTCCAGGTAGACAGGGATCTCAGCTGCCCGGGGTGGGGACCCATTGTCTGAGGCCCTCACGGTAAAGTTGAGCCAGCACACCTCCTCATAGTCCACCGTCCGGTTGGCAATGACCTTCCCTAAGACACAGAGGCAACCACTGCCATTTTGGCCACTCCTCACTCACGGAAGCTCTCCAAAGTATGAAGAAAAGGATCTGGAGCTCTGAGGGGCAAGTGTGGTCCCTTGAAGAAGGAGGGTGGCCAGGCAGCACTGCCCAGTGGCAGGCCAGAGGGCTGAGAGCAACTGGCATCCAGCTGTTCTCCTTACTGGAGGGGTAAGAAAGCTTTTCACAAGTCAAAGGGATGAACACCAACAAGCAGGACCTCCTCTGAGACTCTTCTCTTTTGGCCTTCTTGTTCCCTCAGTGATACTAATAGTGGAAGCTTGGGTGATGGAGAAGGTGGAGTATTCCAAGTTTCCAGCAGACCTCAAAGGGGGCTTCCATCCCAACCTAGAACTAGGCAGTCTGTCCTTTCCCCCAGCTTGGACATCTGGGAGTGACCGGAATGTTGGCCATATTGGATCTGGCCCAGCCCCCTGAGGGGCCATGGTGGGGCCCCAAGTGGAGGGTGAGAAGTGGGCCACGGTCCTTCCTGGAGGCTAAGCAGATACAGACACATATCCCCCAACCGTCTTCTGGCAGATTTCCCACCTACCTGCTGAGGAGTCTTCCAGCTGGACGTAGCCTGGGGGCATCAGGTCCAGCAGGGTGTAGGTGATCAGCCCATTGAGGCCCTTATCAGGGTCCACAGCTGCCACAGCGACGAGCGTGGTGCCGGGGGTCGCCCCCTCCAGGATCCGCTCTGTGTAGTAGGTGATCCCGAAGGGCTTGAACTGGGGAGTATTGTCATTGACGTCCAGGATGTTGACCGTCAGCTTGGCTGGGGTGGAGGCAGGGGTTGAGGGTGAAGTGAGAGGGCACCAGTGAGGCTGGGCCAGGCCTTGCTATGTCTCAGCCAAGCCTGGAGAGGATGGCAGCATCTCACAGGCCTCCTGGGACTCCCTGAAGCTTGACCCAACTCTTGGGTGCTGGCATGTGACCCTTTCCTCTGGTCTGGTCGCTCACTCTTCCATAAGGGAAAGGGGCTTGGTTCTACCAACTGGCTGGTAACCTTGGTGGAGCCCCTGGCCCTTACTATGCCTCAGTTTCCTAACCTGTGCAATGGGATAGGACTAAGATGATCTTTAAGACCCTTCCCATGATTCAGCCTTCTATGTCCCATCTGAACTGTCCCCTCTATGTAACCAGCCTGGGCCCTTTGCCCTCGGAGCGTGCGACATGTAGGAGATGACCAGTCTGCCCTTCCTTCCTGGAAACCTGGGCCTCTGGGCTGTAAAGATAAGCAGCCAGCATCTGCCTGGCCTATCTCCCCACCCCAGCAGCTAACCTTGCCTCATGGCAGAGGCCACTTCAGGCCACTCCATCCCTACATCCCCCTCCCTGCTCTCCACTCTGCCCACACAAAACCCACACTTCTTGCAGCCCCCTCCTAGCTCATGCCTCAGGCTGCAGGCAGGGCTGCCTGTGCCCAGCCTCTGCTGTCGTGCTTGCAACCCAATGTAGTGTCTGTGGCCTCAAGTCACCTTTCCATGCTCTTTCCTTCCTCTGGGCTGACCCTGTGGCTTCCTATCAGATCTGAGGTTCCTGTCTCACATCCCAGCTATACCCTTGTTACCAGTTCTGACAACAGGATTCTGACCTAAGTCTCTGTTAACTCATCCTTTTCTCAATCCCCTTCCAGCCTCTACCAAGTCTCCTTTCCACTCTAAGCCTTGGGGTTCAAGATCACACACAGTTCTGGGCTTGGGTCCCCCACTGCTGACCTCTGCCTAGCAACCCACACACAAGGCCGGCCACCCTGAGCCTCACAGTAGCTGCCCCTTTCCACGCCCCACGTGTAGCCTGACTACTGGCAGCCCTGGCAGCTGGGTCCTGCTGCTCCCTCCCTGTTCCTGGCCGGCCCCCTGCCCTCCTCAGCTCTGAGTAACCAGTGGAGATGCCTGTGGGGAACCTTACCATTTGGCACACTGAGAGAGTGCTCTGGTAGGTCACTGGCATTGTCAATCACCGAGACAGTGACCTCATAGGTGGCAACCAGCTCCCGGTTCAGGGGGGATTTCACCATTACAGACCCTGTAGACCAGACCAGGTCAGGTTCAGCCCAAGTGCAACCCCTAAAATCTGGGCCTCCCAGGGTGCTCCTGGCCAACCCTCCCAATCCCTACTGAGGGCAATGGTCCCCAATGGACCCGGGACTTGGTCTCATCTTTGGCTGGGATGAGACCACAGCCACCTGCAAGCCGGGGGCACATCACTCTGCCCCTCACTCACTGTTTACTAGCCGGTGACCTTGGGCAAATTATTTAACCTCTCTGGACCTCTGTTTCCTCATTTGTAAAATGAGGATAATTACAGTATCCACCACATAGGGCTATTTTGAGGATTATAATAATTAAATGAGTATACATTTGTAAAGGGCTTAGAACAGTGCTTGACACATAGAAAGTGCTATGTAAATGCTTGTTTAAAAAATGCTTGTATTCCACAACAATGTGAGTATCCCGAACACTATTGAACTGTACACTGAAAAATGATTAAGATGGTAAATTTTATGTTATGTGTATTTTATCACAATTTAAAAAATGCTTGTATTCTAATGAGATCAAGTATAAAGGAAGGACAAGGCAGCTAAAAAGCCCCGAGGGGGCTCCCTGGAGGGGACAGTGGTGGAATAGGCTGTATAGTCAGGCCTACCCTTTGGTCTCGATTATGGGGCAGGACATGGGCTGACTGTGGGAAAGGAGCACCGTCCTATGTTAGAACTAGCAAGGAGCTATTTCCTTCTCCCCTACCCACCGCCTCCCAGAGCCTCTTCCTGCCCCTGAATCACAGAGGAACCCTCCAGAGCTTGGGCTGGAACTGGAAAGACCTGGTTTGGCCGATCTCAGGCCTGGCTCTGTTGGGACCTCTCTCCTTCCCACCTGGTGGAGGGCCTGGTAGCTCCTCCTCCCATCAGCCTCATCCTAGGGTGAAACCTCCTTTCTCTTCTTCCAGCTCCCTCTCAGGCACTGGGGTCTCTGGGATTCCCTTCCCCCTTGGCAGATCCCCCTGCTGGGCTTCTGTCCTCCTCGAGTCCCCAGCCATGGGGCGGTCACTTACCCTGGGCCGCTGCCTCCTCCTCCTCCTCTTCCTACTCTCGCTCCCCGTCCCGAGGCTGGGGAGCGAGGATGGGGAGAGGGTGGCTGCATTCAGTCTGCAAAGGCTGGGCCGCGGCCTTGGCCCGGGCCCCACAGGATGGGAAGGGTGGTGGTGGGTGCGGTGGGTATGGAGGAAGGCAATGGGGTGAAGCAGAGAAGAGATGAGGTGGGAAGTGACAGAGAAACAGAGCTCAAACCTGTGGGCCTGCCAGCCATGAGGAAGAGAGAAGAGGGTTAACATCAGTTAGTTCAGGGTGCAGAGGGGATGGAGCAGAGCAGGGCATGAGGGACAGTGGGGCTCAGAGCTGAGCAGAGCAGGAGGTTTTGGAGGGAGGAAGTGGAGGGGAAGAGGCAGAGGGAAAGGAAGCCAGGGGAGCAATGGGAGCCCAGTTGGATAGGAGCACTCAGGAGGCTGAGGCTCTGGCAAGAAGAAAGGGGAGGGAAGGTGAGCAAGGGAGGTGGGAAGAGTGTGAGGAAGAGGGGCAGAGAAGACACTGGAAAGAAAAATAGAGAGAAGAGAGTCAGTCGGAGGGAGGGAGAACAGAAGAGGAAAGTGGTAGAGACACCAGTGTAGCATAAAGCTGGGCAGGGGCGTGGAGCAGCTCTCCATGGTCCTGACCTACCACTGCAGTGGCAATTTTGCTAACTCGGGACACGGATAACCTATCTTCTCCTACTGCTCATGGTTTTCCTGTCTTCTTTTCTCGTTTGGCCTCAGATACAGACTGAATTAGTCATACTCTTTGGTTCACTGCACACTATGGTTAACACTACTCTTGTTTTATGTATGTATCTATTCCCTTTTATTCCCATACTCCTCTCCCCTTGGACAATCATTGTAATGTATGGAAGTGTGTTTTTTATTTGAAAGTGTTTCTGAAAATAATGTATTGTTTTTGTGTATGTATTTTACATTCATGCAAATGGGATTGTGATATATATATATACACACACATATATATATGTGTGTGTATATATATATATACATCCTATTTCTAACTCTTTTCAGTAAGTACTTATTTTTAAGGTGCACCCATGTTGCTCTGTGTGAGTCTAATCTATTGCTTCTAACTGCTGCCTCATACCCCATGGTGTGCACCCACCACGTTATACTCTCCAATCCCCCAGGGAGGGATGCTCAGGTGGCCGCCAACTCTCACCATCGATAACATTGCAGTGAACATCCTCAGATCATTCCATTGTTGACCTGAGAATTTCCTTGGGACACATACCCAGGAGCACTATTGCTGGGTCATGGGGTACAAGTGTACTTTGTGCTAGATTGCTGTCTAGATGATGGAATCAGTCTAAACTCCTATAGTAGTGTGTAAGAGTTCCGATGTCCCCACACTGTCACCAATACTCAATATCATCCAGTATCCTAATATCTGCCAATCATGTATGGAAAACTGATACCTCCTTGCTGTTTCACTACTCATTTCTCTGAATAACAACAATTTTTAGCATTTTGTCATAGCGATGTTAGTTTTTCTGTCACTCCTCTGGGCCTTCCAAGAAGTATACCTGTAAAGTCCCATGTCCCCTCCCTAACTGCCCAGAGGAGCAAAAACACTAAACTTTTGGGAACATGGTAAAACTATCAAACTTATAAATTCCATAAATTGTGAAAGTTAAGCCATAGTTCTCTTTGTTTTGTGATAGTGTAAGAAAATCATTCAGGGTACATATATACAACTTACAGACGATTTAAATGGCCAGTATACATATGAAGAAAGTGTTCAACCACCCAGGTATTGAAACAAGGTACCATTTTCCTATAAAATTACAAACAGGAAAACTTTATAATATTTAATGCTGGCAAGAGTGTGGGAAGATGGGCACTCTCATACAACACTGGGAGAGTGAGAGAATCAGAGAGAGGCAGCTGTTCAAGGGGTAAGGAGGGAGAGAAAGGAGAAAGGGAAGGAGCAAGGGGAGAGATGGAAAAGGGAGGAAGGATGTGGTGTCAACAGGGGAGAGGAGAGCAGAAAGAGGAGCAGCTGAGGGAAACAGAGGAGCGGTGAGAGAGAGAATAGACAGAAGGGAGGGTGAGGAAGAAAGCAGAGCACAAGGAGACTGGCAGGGAGTCAGGAGGAGGGCTGGCGGGGGAGCAGGCACTGGTACCTGTGTTGATATTCACGGCAAAGGCATCCTCCTGATCAGGCACCAAGCGGTCAGTGTCGTCCTTGGCCATGATGCCGATGATGTGGTACTCCAGCTTTGGGTTGAGGTCGCGGTCAATGGCAGTGACATTGGCAATGACAGTGCCTGGCTTGACCGACTCCAGCACACTCACTGTCTGGATGGGGTTGAGGAACTCGGGGCGGGAGTCATTGATGTCGTCGATAAGGATAGTGATGACGGCCCTGCCAGAGAGAGGGATGGTGCCCCTGTCGGTGGCCACCACTGTCAGCCTGTAGGATTCCTGCTCCTCCCTGTCGATGGTGGCGTTGCCGACGTGGATGACCCCGGTGAGTGGGTGGATGAGGAAGCGGTCCTGAGCCCCAGCTTCTATTCGGTAGATCAGCTCCCCATTGAGGCCACTGTCTTCATCTGTGGCTGTGACCTGAAGGACTGAGAATCCTGTGGGAGGGGGAACGGGGCGTAGCTGAGCACAGTGGCCTCTTCCAAAATCATCATATGGAGATATATTTGTTGGCAGTTCAGGAGGGCCCTCTCTCACCACAACCTTGCCAGCGTCTATCTTTTATACATTTTTCATATTTGCAATTTTGTAGGAAAATGGTGTCTCATTTTATTTTGCATTCTCTGATTATTTGTGAGATTGAACAATTTTTAATAATTTAATGATTAGTTGTATCTTTTCTTCTGCAAATTGTCAGCTTTTGTCCTTTGCTCATTTTTCTGTCAATTTATGTGAACTGAATAATTATGATAACTTGTGACAAATATCTTCTTCTCAATTTTTTGTTTGGCTTTTAATATTAGTTATAATTGTTTGATGTAAAGAAGTTTAAATTCGTATGCACCGAAATTTAATATTTTTCCTTTTCTGAGTTGTTCTGTTTCTTATATGCTTAGAAACCAATTTATCAGAAATCAGATATTCACCTAAAGTTTCTTCTTTTATTTTTTAATGCTATCTACTCTTTCATATTTTCTTTAGAATGTCTTTGGGTTTCATTTTGGTGTCTGATATGGGGTGGGAATCTACAGTAAATATTAATAGATGTTTTGCACACCAAATAATTAGTTTTCACTGTTGGTTCCATTGTTTCTTTCACCACGTCATACCCAGTCTTTAATTTACCATATCTGTTTCTGGGCTACTTCATCCCAGAGTCTTGTGCTCACATCATGTTGTTTCAAGTATTGGAGTTTTGTAATATGGTATAATACCTGGTAAGGCAAATCTGGCTTTATTAGGCTTATTTTTCAAAATATTCTTATTCTTCTAGATGACCTTTAGAATCAAATTTACCCCCAAAATCATATTTGATTTTCATGGGAATCTTGTTAATCCTAATTTGACTTTAAAACAGTCAGTCCTTCCATCCAGGAACATGGATGGAATATATCTTAATAATCTCGTTTTGCAGACAAGCCAGTATGGAGTAGAGACGGGAAGTGAGGGGGCCCTGGGGCCTCTGACTCCCTCTCCAGTGCTCCTTCCACCTACCTTGCTGCCCCTCCTTCTCCCCACTGGAGGTGAATTCTGCCTCCAACCTGTGAGGCTCCAATTCCCACAGACCCCCAACCAGCTCTTGTGTGGGGCCAGGGCCTGGGGCCTGTCCCTTGGTTACCTGGTGGGCAGTTCTCTAGCAGGTGGACTGTGAGGGCGGTAGGGCTAAAGGTGGGCCAGTTGTCATTGTCATCCAGGATGGTGACAAGCAGGTCGGCTGTGCCATTGAGCAGTCCGATGTCCTCAGCCAGCAGCAGCAGCTCCAGGACTGGGGGTGAGAAGGCCTCCCGGTCAATGATGACACCTGATCTCACTGTCACTACGCCTGGCACACGGTGCCACCAGCCGGGGAGACACAAAAGAAAAGGGGTGCAGTAGGGAGATAGGGTGAGAGCCATCCAGGAGGAGACAAAGAAACACAGGGGCGCATGGGGAAGAGATGAAAGAGGAGCAGAGAAAGCAACACAATGACTTTCTTCCCCAAAGGCTCATCAACCAATGTTTAGGGAGGGCCCCAGTCCCCAGGAGCCAGTCCCCTCCTCAGGTGCCCTCTGCAGATCTCCAGAGTCCTCCTGGGATGAGTGACCCAGGGTGGAGGATTGACCTACTCCATTGATAGATGTGCTAGCATATCCCTCCCTGTTGTCACCTATCACCAAACTGGTCTCCTGTCCAGGACCATACTGATGTGACATGGTCTCTGGGGAGCTTTGGGTCTGGTTTGAGGACAGACCTTTGGGTGCTTCTGGCTGACTAGGTTCCTGAGCTTCTGGCCTGGGCACTGGGAGACGAAAGGAGTGGGTTGGGGGGCTCTCTGCCTAGGCAGAGAGTCTGTGAACCAGCAGGTCCCTTGTGTCATCCCCAAGCCTCTTCCTGGGTCCTCCCACTTGGCACTCAGGTGGCCTAATCCAGCTGCAAGATGAGGGGTGTGAGGAATGGGGTCTCCATGGAGATCTCTGATCCAGCATTGACAAGGGGGGGCCTAGATCTAGCAGGGGGTTCACTCCCACCCAAGCAGGAAGACTTGGAGCCAGGTTGGGAGTGCTGGGGTGGCCCAGAGGCCTCACCGGTGCTGTTGTCAATGTCAAAGAGGCCGCTCTGGGAGCCCAGCAGCTGGTAGGTCACCACGGCATAGATGTCCAGGTCCGCATCCAGGGCCAGGATGGGCCCATTGAGCACTGTGAGGGGGGTCCCTGGGCCAGGGGAAAGGAGTCACTGCAGGGCCAACCCAGTCCCCCACCCTACCCCTCCCCCACCTGTCCCGGTGAGCCATGGCTGAGGATGGATGAAAAGAAGGGAGGTGAGGTGGATGGGGTGGGGAGGCCCTGGGCCGGGCAGCGGCAGCCTTGGCAGACTGACGCAGATGCCTGGGGAGCGGCCTCAAAGCCCTGCCGGGGAGAAAACACAACAGTGGTGAGCAAGCCCCTCCGGCCCGCCTGGAGCACGCCTGCCTTCCTAGCAGCCTTTGAGGCTGGCCACTCCGCGGGCGGGTCTGGGGGCTCCCTGACATCCCCTCCCTGTGTGTGGGCTCTGTCTAGGTATGCACACCCAGCCCAGTCTGTCCGCATGTGTGTGAACACAATGCCCTATACAGATCTCTGTAACCGACTAGGAATCCACACGTGTGCAGGACTCTGTTCATGTGGCCACGAGCACACACACGAGAGCACTCGCAGGCCCGGGATCCCCTGGCTGTATGCTCGTCTACCTCTGCAGGTGGGCATATTTGCAAGTGGAGTGCATCTGTGGCACCCAGGTGCCTGTGTGTGTCTGCGCACACCTGTAAGCCCACACATATGTCTTGACATGGATACCTACTGGCACGTGTGTGAGCACGTACACAGGCAGGATTAAGAAACAAATTCACGTGGGGGGACAGCCAGCCAGAGACAAGGAGTATCTCAGCTTATCTCTTTCTGACTTAGAATCCAAGCTTCCAGGGCTGGGGAGGTTGGAGGAGGAGTGAGGGGACCTCCCTAGGGGACAGTGAAAAGGAGATTCTGTCCCTCTGAAGGGAGGTGAGGCTGGTCAGGGCACGTGTGGGAAAGGGCTATGCTGGCCTACCCAGGGTCCCCTCGCCCCCCACCTCTGATTACAGATGCTTCTTGAGCTTCCAGAAGCCTCCAGGATGACCTGTGCTCCTAGGGTGGAGGGAGCGTGGAGGGGTGGCCTTACTGGCCTACTGGTTCCTGGGTGGTCCTCACACCTTAAATGCCTCTAGGGGGTGATGCGACTGCTCTTAGGCCATCTTGGGGACCAATGACCACAGCTGTCTCTTTCAACTAGACCTGTGGCTTCTTTGCTGGCCCCTAATAGGCCTGGCAGCCCCAGGCCCACCAGCCCCTCAGAGCTGTGCCCCTTCCTCCCCTCCACACCCTTCTGCACCTGCTGGGTCTGTGGTGAGGCTGCCTCCCCAGCCCGGCCTCAGCTGGGCTCCTATCAAGCACAAGGGAGGTCCTCAGGCACCTGGGGCCCAGGTGGCACGTGGCAGCAGCAGGAGTTCCCAGGCGGGCCCAGCACCTACCAGCAGGAGAGTTCTCCATCACCTCCGCCTGGTAGGTGCTCTCAGTAAAGAGGGGGTGGTTGTCATTCTCGTCCGCAAGAAAGATCAGCAGCAAGTCAAAATCCTGTGGGAGGCATGGGGGGAGTGCAGGCTATAGGCCGTGTTCTAGCAAAGTGCTATGGTGGGAGGAGGGCTGGGAGGTGAGGGTCAGGGCACAGAGGTGGATAATTAAAAAGCCTGCACCACGGGTCCAGAGGCCTGAGTTCAAGTCCCTGCTGTGCTAGCAGCTCACTGGGTGGCCTTGGGCAAATCATTTCCCCTATCTGGGCCTCAGTTTCCCAATCTGGCAAATGGGGATCTTAACCCCTTCCGAGAGGTGTTGTGAAGTTCATAAGAGAAGGGATGTAAACGGTATTTAATCATGTGCCATCTGGTGGTCAGGAAGGACTTTAGGCAGGAAGAGTCTGGGTTTCCAGACTCTTCAGGCCTGCCTGATGCCTCGGTCAGAGATGACCCAAACTCTCACCCAGTGCTGCACCTCATGCCTTTCAAAAACCACAGTCAAAGCTCTTATCTCTCGAACCTCCTGGTATCGCAGGACACTATCTCCATTGCAGAGGTGAGGAAATCAAGCCCCAGAGAGGGAGGTGGCTATTCAAAGCTGCACAGCAAGTTAGCAGCAGAGTAGGGACAAGCCTCTGAGCCTCCTGCTTCCCCCCGCTTGATGCTGCTGCTTCCCAGGATGGCCCAGGTCCCCCTAAAGCACAGGAGGTGGGGGGATGAGAGTGGGACAGAAAAGGAGGAGGCAGGGAGTGAGAGAGGAAGGAAGGAGAGGAGCACAGGATGAGAGGCCAGTGGCTTGTGAGTACCCCCAACCTGACGCCTCCTCAGCCTACATAGATGGGGAAACTGAGGCCCAGAACAGGTGGTGTCTCGGCTGAGCCATGCAGCCAGTCAGGAGCAGAGCTGAGAGGGGCCAGACCCAAGGACTCTTGGCCAGGGCTCTACCCCAGACCTCATGGGCTGGGAAAAGAAGGCTGACCTCTATCCACAAAAGGACTGTTTGTTTTGCAAACCCACTTCCTCTTGGTAAGGAGAGCTAACTTCTTTGGCTTTTGAGGGAAAAACCACCTGGAAAACGTAAGTCTTTCAGAACCCCAGAGTGTGTGTTTGTGAGTACATGCAAGGCCCATGTGCACACATAACTGTGGCATGTGCCCAAGTACTAGTGGTTTGGGGAGAAAAGATGACAGCTGGCATTTATTGAGTGTTTGCTGTGTGCCAGGCACTGTGCTGAGGACTTCATAGATAGGCTCTTTCAGTCCTCTCCACAGATTTGGGGTAGGTGTGGTCTTCATTTTGCAGAAGAGAAAATGGAGGCTGAGAGAAACTGACTTGCCAAACTCACACACCTGCTGACAGGGGGAACTGGGGTCTG